TTTAGCTAGACCTCACTCTCTGAAACTGCCAGCATCCCTGGATTTTTTGCTGTTGTGATTGCAGTCAAAAAAGCACCGTTCAGCATATTCATGCAGCAGGAGCATCTGAAAAACCAACATGTGTGGCTAGCAAAGTTTGCCACAAGTCACATCCATTGTGTTACTTGTGGTGCAACAGAAATTCAGGCTGCTCACACTGTTCAGACTGTAGTCACTGTAACAATGCTCATCTTTTAGCAGTGATGTTATCTATAAAGCCAGTGAGAGCGAGGTAGCTTTAATGCTTCAGCCACTTTCTTACAAGAAAACAGGATTATCTGCTACGAAGGGGGGGCCTACACTACGAGAGTGTTAACATAATCAGTATGCACAAGCTATATCTAAGCACCCCAAAAGCATGACAGCAATGAAGACTGATTCTCATCTAAAAATGAAACTTTTTTTTAAACACAGCAGTCTTATAGAATTTAAGTGAAACTAGAGTTAAGATTCTAAGGTCCTGCAGGTGTAAAACTTCAGTAATATTCTGTGTTATCATGAATAGTTATCACAGAAACAGATCCTCTCCAAGGAAGCTAATACGAAGATTAGCATCAACTTATTACTTTGAGTAAGTACCACTCAGATGGTATTATCTCGTGGACTAACATACTCTAAGGCAGAAAGTAGCCAGTATTCAACTGTAAACAAAGGCTTCTTGTACTACCAGCCAGCCAAGATATACGCCATCTCAACTTCGATCTATAAAACAATCTCAATTCTGTAATTCCCTCAGAATTTACTACTAAAATATTTTGAAGGAAACCCTGTGTAACTGCCAGAAATTCAGCTAGCCCAGTGTCATACCACAAGATTTTTCCACAACAGTAAAAAAAACTGTTGAACTGCCACGTTAAGTATTTAATATAGTTTTCCAAGTTGTTAATTTTTAACTAGACACTTTTGCTTTGAAATGAGTTATAAACACTTGAAACTGAAGTAATGCTGTGTTTCTCACGTTTGAGCAAGTTATTAGCATGGTTTTTGGTATCCTAAGTTGGAGAATATATACACAATACAGCAGAACTTTGGCCAATGAGGGCAAGGTTATTCCCCTGTTTTTCAGCAAGCCGTGTTTGTGTCAGACTACTCGCACTTCTGGTTCCACTGTACACCGCTGATTTAACTGCATCCTCCCTACACGATCCTGCCAGATGAACTAGACAAGTCTGCCTACTCTGTGTCAGCAACGATTGTGCACAAAGATGGAACGAGAACATTTAGAAAAATGCCTCAGTCTACAAAACCCTTGGGCTCAACAGATCTGGAGACCTGAGAGCAGAAAGCTGCTCTTCTTTGTTCCATCTCTTTTTAAAGAGCAGGATGTGTTTGGACTGTAGGGAGAACACATTTTACCCCATCGCCTCTTAGGGGGATAAACTCTGCTGATCCAGTGTTATACTGATCTACATACCTGATCCTGCATGTCTGTCCATCATACCCCACGCCCCAAAGTTCAGAGGGGCTTCATGCTTTTAATTCCCCCTGCACCTTACCCATAAGAGGAAATGGGTAGGCCATGGCTTCTCTTCTACAGCACTAGTGATCCAAAAATCAGGATTGAACATACATCTGCAAGAACATGTTTATTGAAGTTTAAGAGAATTCCAGAAGCAGCTAGAGCTTACAATTAAATTGATTTGAGAAGAAAAAGACATTTAGCTTTACAGACATTCACACAGGAAAACCTCTAGGGCTCCACTCTTAGTGCCAGCACACTGCCTGCTTTTGGTAGTCAAAAATCCCGATTCAGCAGCTCCTTTTGAGCACTTTTTAAAAAGTGCCCAAAGTTCCAGCTATCTTGATTTGAACTGTTCTTGCGCCTAGATGGTGGGCAAGAACATAGATACTGAAGCAGATACTAATTCCCTGGCAATATAGCTGTTACACTCTTAGAGACACTGAAACTACTTAGTATAAAGAACCCACATCTAACTTTACTCCTACTTTGTGACTGTTGCTGAATATCCCTTCTTAGAGTGTTGTCAGCATCCAGAACGTGCTGCTTATGAGGACAAGCATATTGTCCGTATGGTACATGGGTACCAGGTCCCTGCTCAAGTTACAAGGCTCTAGAGGAGCAAACAGTTTTTATACACTTACTGGAAAATCTTGGGATTACATTGCCATGTTTCCTTTATGTGCTCTGATAAAACCCTTGGCTTTAAGTCTCAGTGAGTCTCAGTGACAAAAAAAGGGCTCACCAGCCGACCTTCATTCTAACAGAGGCTTCAAGAACTAAATCAACTCATTAAAGTGCTATGTCACAGACTCCTAATTTCCCCATCTTTTTTTTTTTTTTTTTTTTTTTTTTTTTTTTAAGACAAAGCATATGGACAGACAACAGTTCTGAGGACTACCGTTTTACCTTTCTTTCTCCTTTGGAGACTTTTTTTTTTTTTAACCTCTTAACATTGAGAATAACTATGTAGGGTCTCACCACCCATTAAAGAAGTTCCATATTCCTCAACTGCTCCACAACTGCATGGGCTTCATGTCCACCCTTCAGCCTTCCTCCACCTCCTGATGTCTTGCTCCAAGTCTAACAGCTCCAACCTCAGACCTCTTGTGGTTTGACTACAGCCTGCCTTGATAAGCGAGTGATCTAGAGCAATTTAAACAAGTTTAGATCACATTAACTCACCTCCACTGCCAGTTCGCTGTGCTCCAAAACCCAACCACTAAATACAACCCAATGACTCACCACACTCGATATAATGCAAAAGCTGCATGTAGCAGAAGGGCTGAAATACCAGCCCCGCCAGAAGAAAGAATACCACAGTGCTGATTTTTGTTTTGAGGTAGAACAAGCAGTGTGAGTGTAAACAAAGAGACACATTGGAGCAGCTGAGACTTGGAAGAAGACAGTCAGCAGTAGTGTAGGAAGATCAGACATCATGAAGCTCAGTCTCTGCATTGCGACTTCAAGTAGCCTGCCATCAGAAAAAGCAGTGTCAGAGTCTAGTTTCAGCTCAGTTCAGGTTATCAAATAAGGAAGAAACAGTTTTCCTTCTCAGGTCAGTAACTCTTCCAGACAGGACTCCAGAAGAATTCAAGGCTCTCCTTCAACGCTCACCACAATCACTTTTAACACTTGTTTCTTTTTTAAGAAAGTACATTAAGAAGAATACCAACAGCACTGACAGTACTTCAAACACAAAAACCCCACACAGGGTTGCACGCCACACAAACAGCTACACTACTTGAGTCAGCACAGCTGAATCAGTAAGATGGCAACTGGAAAAGCTTACCAGCTTTTGCCATTACACACGAAACCTTCAGAAGGCAGCGAGCAGGACGGTTTGGGGGTTAACAGCAGTCTACCTAAGAGCGTGCAAGCCCACTTCCACATCCAACTGGCCCATACTTACAGATCATATACCTATTGTTATCGTCCCGTGCTTACAGCACGTACACCTCCTGTTATTGTCCTGTGCTTACAGAACTTACACCTCCTGTTACTGGCATATCTGACCACGTGGACGCCTCACCCGCTGCCAGCAGCTTGGGAGCCACTGAGGCACTCAAGAGGTACGTGGCTACCCTCCTGAACACGGGCACGCGCTAAGGTGAGCTTGTTTTTATGAAAAAGAACGTCATGTTAAAGGGATTAAAGAACTCCTGTGCTAGTGGCTGGCTACACTTCAGTTTTTTCTCACCCTTATTAGCACCGAGCACCACCTAAAGGGAGCCGCTTACACAACCCTCCCCTCCCTCCCGCTGACAGGACCCTGTGGTCCCCTACTGCCCTAAATGCCCACCCAAACCTCCCCTGACCCCCTGTGTCACCCCAAACCCTCTCTCTGGGCACATTTAGGCCGTGTTTGGGTGCACCCAGCAGCGTGGGCACGGCGGAGCTGTGAAGGGGGCGCCCGGAGGCGCCTCAGGAGCTGAGGTGAAGGAGGGGGGGGGGGAGGGGGGGCTCCCGGCCGCGTTTCTCTTTAAATCTGGCAGCGGGCGGCACATGGAGCCGCATTGTGCGTGCCGCGCATGCGCAGCGGGGCCGAGCCGAGCCGGGCCGAGGCCAACCGAGCCGGGCCGAGCCCAGCCGAACCCGGCCGAGTCCACCCGAACCCAGCCGAACCCCCTCGGCGGCGGCGCGGCCCGGCCACAAAGGGAGGGGGCTGGGGCTGGGGCCGCTCCCGGCCCTTCCCGGCCGCCGGCTCCTCCCCCCGCCGGCGCCTCCAACCCCACACGCACAGCGGGGGCAGCCCCGCTGCGGCCCCCCCCGGGCCTCCAACAAAGGGGGAAGCGCCGTGTGCCCCCCCCCCCCCAGCCCCCGTCCCGCCTCCCCGGGCGGCAGGGCACGGGGGGTGAGGGAGGACGGGGGCACCTCAGGTCCCCGCGGAAGGTGCGAAGGCCCCAAGTAGTGTTTCTGAGGGGGGTGCAAGAAGATAAATAAATAGATCAAGCACAACCACCAGCCCTCCCCTCCCCGCTGCGCTCCGGCAGCTGGCAAACCCCACCGAGACCCCCCCCCGCACTCCCCCCCCCCCCACCCCCCCACCCCTTGTCCCCTTCCTCCGCCAGGCTGAGGGGGGTAAAGGGGGGCCGGGGGCCGAGCGGGGCCGTTGTGTGCCCCCTCCTCAGCCCCCCCCAGGGGCTGGGGGCAGCGGAGGAGGCTCACACCCCCACACCCCTCACACCCCCCTCACCCCCCGCCCTGCCGGCCCCTCCGCACCCCTCCCCCCGGCCAGGCAGCTCCCCCTCCCCCCCTCGGCCTAGTTCCCTCAGCTCCCGGCTGGGCAGGGGGGCGGCGGGAGGGGGATTTGGGGGGGGCTCAGGGGGGCTCTCCCCCCTCACACCCGCCCCCTCCCGCCCCCCAAGCACAGGCCCCTTCCCTCAGCAGGCCGCTCTCCTCCTCACCCCCCCCCCTCCACCTCCACCTCCCGGGGCCGATCGCCTCTCGCCTCCCCCCTTTTCCCCCCCTCCGCCGCCGGTCTCCCCCCCCGGGCCGGTACCTGCCAGTTGCCTCCGCAGTAACAGGGCGGACTGGAGCTCCGTCATTCTCCCCCTCTCCGCCCGGGGAGGGAGTCCCGGGGACGGCGCGGCTCCCGGTGCTGCGAGCGCCCGAGGAGGCGGCGAGTGGCCCTCAGCCCGCCCGCACGGCGCCCCCCGGGGGTCTGGCTCGGCGCCGGCCGCCGCCACAGCACGCAGGGTCCCTGCCAGGGGCGAGCGGCCGTGGCTCCCAGCCGCCCTCCTCCTCCTCCCCCCGCCCGCCAGGAATTTCGCTGCACTCCGGGCCGCGTTGCGCAGGCGCACTGCGCGCCGCCGCCGGCCCTTCCGCGCCGCCATCTTGAGAAGGGACAAGCGGGCGGGGAGGCGGGGCGAGCCTGGCTTCGGCCGCCATCTTGAGAAGGTCACTTTTCTCTATCTCACTCTCTTTCTTTTTTCTTTTTTTTTTTTTTTTTTCCTTCTTTTTTTCTTCCCCTTCTGTAAAGCCCTAGCCTGCAGGTAACAAGGGAGCCTGCTGAGGAGGACTTGCGTCTGGCGGGGCTTTGAGAGCTGTTCTCCGGCCGCTTTCTTGGCTGCCTCGCTGAGGGCAAGGGGGCTTCTCCTGAGGGCAGCGGCAGCTCCCCGAGAGCTTTCCTCAGTTTCCTCAGCGCTTTCCTCAGTTAACGCACTGCACGAGACTATTCTCAGGTTCGGGGCTGTGTGTAATAAAAACTATCGGAGCATTCTGCCTCTGCCCAAAGCCCTGCTTCCTTCTCACACTGCTGCCGTTTCCCAGATCCAGTGAAACACACGGGTTTTTTCGCAGGGGGCTAAAAAGAACGGCTTTGTAATGAGGAGGCTGCTGCTGGAAAAGTTGCTCAATGCAGTCTGTGCAGGATTGCTGCAAAATGTAGGAGGATTTGGCTGTGGGTGTGATGGGGACGCTCGTGTGAGGGGGAGCGCGCTGAGGAGAACGGCGGCGCCCGGCAGGCTGCCAGCGCTGGAGGTGCGCCCGGGAAGGAAAAAAAAGGTATAAAATGCTGAAGTAAAAAAACCCCTTGTTGCACTTGTGAGGTAAAGGGGGTCTCCTGAATTGGTTTCTCCTCGGGGAACGTAGTCTTGAGTTTGGATCTCCACCAAAAGCCTTCAGGAGGTGACTGCAAGTCTGAGGAAAGGAACTGCTGAGTGGAAAAGCTAAAATCTGGGGTAGTTTATGCCAAAGAATGAAGTAAATGACCAAAGGAGGGCTGACAGAAATAAAAATTGTCTCGATATTCATGTGTTGTCTGTAACAAATGCACTGCGATAAATTGGTGCATGAGATTGAAATAAAAAGTTTGGGCTTTGCTGCTCCTCTGCATAGGCTGTGAGCATCCTGTTGGATTCTCTGATTTTGCATTTTAATTGTCAAAGAAATGCAGTTGCTGGCTAATTGTGTGAATAATTATTATCAGTGATAGAAATTAGGAAACTCCTTGCTATATTGCAAGGATTTACTAAAAGAATTTATCCTCTAGCAGTTCATCAAAATGCTCAAATCCATTACAAAACCAGACCTCTTTATTTTTTTTCTGCTACAAGGACTTCAGTTTGTTGGTGAACATCAAACTTGACTTTGCAATGAAAGCAGATAGCTAGCCTATAAAAGATGGTTTTAGTTGGCAATGCTAAAGTCATTTTCCCTGCTGCAATTTGGGAGTCCTAGTATAGTCTGCAAGTTTCATTACTGTACTAGTACAATTAATCAGCATACTATTCCCAGATATTCTGGCAACTCTGATTAAATCTGTGTCCTCTTCAATGATTAAACTAGGATGAAATAAGACATCCCACAGCATATGCTACTGTCACTGAAATTCATCTCAGAAATGGTGTTCGTAGCCAAAGAAAGTCTTTGTGAAGGTCTTTCTGCTTTGTTGGTTAACCCTAATTCCCAAATGTATTTTGTGTTTGTATTTTGTATTGCTTGAGTCAGGCACACTTATTCAATCTTAAAACAAAGCAATCTACCTATTTAAACATAGAAGGCTATGATGTGCAAGTTCATTTTATAAACTTAATACACTAAGAGACAGTCACCCAGATTGGAATCCAGGCATGTTGATGGGAAGTGACATGACTGTGGATGTATTCCTCTTTCAGGAATAAAAGGTAGGCTTTGTTCACAATGTCAGTTAAGCCAGCACTAAATTCAGTCAACTTTCTGTACCTGATATCAATTCAGGCATGAGCACACATTTCTGACAGTTCTATTAATAGAGGGCCTAACTACAGCATTGCAGACTGAAAGGTTATATAAAACAACTCTATTTCTATTATATCATAATGAAAAGTATCCTGAATTTCACCGTTAGGTCACTCACTGGAAGTCATCTTACTTAAAAAGGGAAGATACCTATGGCTTATGTATGAATTCCTCATGAGGAACATAGAAGATTGTGGGCTGGGAGAGAAAAGATACGGTTTAAGCTGGCATGGATGACCTGGATTCCTTTATTCTGGTAGCAGATTCAACCTTGGAATATAAAAGTAATGTGTGTTTCTTTATAGGAAGCTCTGGCAACTTAAAGTACCCTAACCTTGCTCTGTCAAATCACCTCACAACTCCAAAATGTAGAACATGTCAATTGCTGGTCAGGGCAGGTGTGTGCCTGTGACATAAACTAGTTTAGTGTTTCCTTACAGCAATAAAGACTCCATGGAATCCCATCGTGAAAATGAAGCTGTCATGCCACGGCAGAATGGGCACTCTGTTGGCTTGCAGTTCGTGTTGCCTGTCCTTGATCACAACTGGCTATCTGTTAAGAGGTAAGAGCCATTCAGTGGCTAGATGATCTCTTCTGCTCATATCCTACTTCTGTATTCCTTATGCAAAAATTCCTTCTCCCTATTGTTTGCTGAGGAAACATGCAGTACATTTTAGAAAAAGGTCTCAAGATAGGAGAGATTGTTTTCTTAAATTTGTTTTCCCATCTCTGACATGCTGCTTCTCTGCAACAGTCTCTCCCATCTCTGCATTAAATGGAAGGACAGCAAGAATTTAGATTAATTTCTCTTTCCTGTGACCATTCCTTGTATGATGACTATTCCGATCTTACAGCCATTCGCTGTGGTCCTTTCTGCAACAATCTTTTCCCATGGCAAGGGCATATTCATAATCATTCATTTTGTAGTTAGAATAGGAAATTCTAGGAGTTTTTTGTCACCTTAAAAGGGATCAAGGTTTCACCTTCAGCATCTTACTTTGTTTGAACGTCTTTTGTTTGACTTTCTCCCCCAGTTCCTCAGACACAACACAAATCACAGATTACACTAGTAGATAGTTCCTGTTCAGTAAAGAGTCTTCCGGCTGGATTCACACTGTTAGCAACATCTGCTCCTCTACTTCAGCTTCTTGGCAAAAACAATAAGCTGACGGTAAGATAGACATAGCTCCCTGTAACATGTTCAGCAATGTTCATCGGATTTTACATGCTGGAATCAGCAAGAAGACATTTTAAATGGTAACAACACGAGGTATCAGTTTTAGGCTTTAAAAAGGATACTCTTAGGCAAATGGGGACCATATTGTGCCCATTAGAACGTTTGTAAGTTTGAGTTTCATGCTGTCGATATCTAGCAAACAAGTTGTTTTCTTAACAGTAAAGGTTATATATTTTTCAGGGTTTATATTCTGGATCCAAATTGTTACCAGGAAAAAGTATGCGTTTGCTGAGCTGTGGTGTACCATTCCGCCCCTTTACAACTGTTTTGTCTGTGCACTCCTTGATATACAAGGAGATTGTTTTTGACCAATCCTCGACTGAGTTTGCATGTGAATAGTAAAATCCATATTAGTTCTTCATACGCCAAGGTAACATTCCACCACTACCATGGATGTGTATCATAAATTTAAATTCTCTAGAAATTGCTTATCAGAGAGAATTTGAGGAAAAGGAGACAGCAACTCAGTTATTTTGTCTTTGATTCATAGCTCCCTGCCGTCTTGAATAAGAGCGTAACAAAAAACTAAAAGCCGTTTTGTTTCCAATTAGGTACGAACTATAAATAAAGTAGGAGACTAAACCTGGGGCTGAACACTCTAGTCTGGCCAGAAGTATTTTGTGTAAGTTCAAGGCTACTCCTACAGAGCAGGTTCAAAAGTTTAACTGTTACTCAAATGTTGTTGGGCTCATGTTTCAGTGGGAAGTGTGTGTGCATGTGAGGAAGGGGGGTTTCCTGGAAAAAATGGACCAGTGAACCAGTAGCATGGCAAACAGAGAGAAACCTGGTGTAGGAATCACTGCAGCTGCTACAGCGCATCTCTTCAGAACATACCTCAGTGCACAGCATGATGAAAATGTTTATATTTACTTGTATTATAGCAATGTTCAGATTCTCCAACTGAGATCAGAGTCCAGCTGGGTTTACCCTAATCCTCGATGATCTCCTATAGAGGTAAGAATCTCCGTTCTTCCATAACTGTCCCAGTAGTTAGACTGGACATGGGTGGCAGTCTGTGGTGCTAAAATGACTTGCCCAAGATGCCAGAGCAAGCCTGCACTGGAGCCAGAAATAGGAGCTAGTTCTGTCTTCCATTCCCTGATACATGAAACCACAATGGCTTTGATGTTCAAACCTCACCGTGTGTCTGTCTGTCATTCCCTAAACCCAGCAGTATTCCACCTAGGTCACTGACCACAGATAAGGGTTTTGGTAGGGGCATGAAGAGTGGAAAATGATTGCTTGAGCCAGGGAGAAAAGTTGCGGATGTAAACTAAGTTGTTCACTGAAGGGTGACACCTAAACAAAGTGTTTTGACATGGCTTTTGGATAAGATTCCTGGTTTGGATCAACTTTTAGGGGAATGGTGGTGGTAAAAGCGTCTCTGGAACTGCAGGAAATCCTTACGGAGCCTTATGGTGGTGTTGACTCAGACTCTTGGCAGGGTGGCTCTGTTTAATACCTGCGTAAACCAGAATGACCTTGTTCTAAACTTTATTTGTATAGGCTTATATTATTACTTAAAGAGATAGCCCTCTCAGCTGGGAAATCGAGGATTTCCTTGCTCATTAATGTTAGAACTAGGGCAAAATGCCCACTTGAGAGGTGGTCATTTTAGATAACATGGACATGCTTTTTGGGCAGCACACTGCATTTCCTCCACTATTAGCGAGAAACAGTTAACTTCAGAGTCAAACAGAAGATGAAAGCAGCAGCAATTAATGATGAAATGACTGCCTTGAGTGCCAAAATAGTTATGGGAAGTGTTAAGCTCAAGTGGAAAATGCAGTTTTCTAACTCATATTTCTACAGAACTGAGTCTGAGAAATTTTTGCTTTGCCACCTGCAAAGCCTGACCTAATTGACAATCAGTTTAATATGCCTGATGGAAAGCAGTCATGAGATCCACTGCTGTGTCAGTTTTCAATCCTTGGAACAAACACAAGGATGTGAAATATGAGGCAGATAGTAATTGATTTGCCTTTCCTGAAATGCTGGGATGTTACTGGAAGGAAATAAACATCAGTATTCTTACTTGAAAAAAACAATGGCACGTATTTGCGAATGGTTATTTGTATATAAATTTGAAGCCAGAGGTTAAAATACAGTTTTCATGCTTCCTTTTTTCTACTGTAGTCTGAAACTAGATATTTAAATAATTGATTAATGATTTAAAATGGCAAGTAGGAAATCTTAATTTACATAATTTATTTTAATCATATTTTACATTTATAATTCTTAACTCTTTACTGGAACAAAAGCAGATTCCTTGTGCTTTGCAGCATGTTACTTTTAGTCAGAAGGACAGGAGTAGTAGTCCTTAATTTAAGCTATGTCAATGTGTATCTATTCACACTTCTGTTTATGTCTTTTAGTCATTAAGTACTGTTTGGTATCCTTTATTTATTAGTTACTGCGATTTTTTAACAGATTATTTCTGTTAAGTTACATTTAGATGGGATATAAGATTCAATTAAAATGTGCAAAGGAATTAATGAGAGATGAAAATTTGTCTTTAGCTCCCCCAACTTCCAAAATATTAATACCAGCAGATCTTGTCCTTCCGCATGTTTGAGCTAATCATCCTACTGCTTGATTCTACCCTACCCATAGTTTGGAAAAGGGAATGGCAAGCTGTCTTCCTTTTTCAAATCCCTCTCGAGTTCTCAACTCTGAATGAACTAGTCACCAAAATTAACTTGTTGAATAAACTGAAATGAAGAATTCACTTTCTTTCTGCACCTGCAGATGAAGCCACTGTTATAAAAAGCTGGTTCAGCGCTCAACAAGCTATTTCTAGTCATTTACTTAGCAACACCCACCCGTTTGGTGTTCTGACTTTCTCTGAAATTTCTGCAGCAAGCCTGGACTGCATGTATATTTTGTACTTAATGATTCTAGATTTCACTTTAGTGTTGGCTGTCCTGATTTCACATTTTATTTTAAATATATATATATATATATATTTAAAGGACAGACATATTTGGTTTAAATCAAAGCACGACACTTTAAAATTTGTTTTGCCCTTTAAACTGGTAAATTTTTATTTATTTATTTATTTATTTTTGCTCACATTTTGCAAAGTGCTCATCACTTACTTCAAACTGTGGCTGACAGCTGTTGTTTAGGAGGTATATAAAGTACTTGGCAAGGTTCTTTTTTTTCCTGGAATAGTCTAGAACGGCAACTTGCAGTTCTTTGAGATATGCTCATATTTGTACGTGTGACGTGTTCTAGTGCCTTTGCTAGTACAAAAATAGTACAGTGCACAAAAGGGAAGAAAGCACATATGCATGATGGGTATGCATTTCATAGCAAATTGCTATAGAGACTGATTGAGCAATGGATATAATTGTAACCTGCACAGGGGTAGGACATGGAAACAAGCAGCACGGCCTATGCTGCTGTAGTTCAAGGGGCAAATCCCTTAATGCGAATGCAGTTACACAACACATGAAGATTAGTCCCACATGGGAAGCCAAATGGGTTAAGATAGTGTAACTACAGACATCTATGGGCTGTAGTATTGTCATATAATACAACATTTGTGTCTACTGGAAAATTATACTGCTGTAATTATAATGTACACAGGTACTCTGGCAACGAATTTAATTTCTACAGGAGCCCAGGTAAAACTGGGCTTTGAAGCAGGGAAGGAAATACCAGCTAGGCCTGTTGCTGAAAGCAGGTGAATGGACAAAAGGGAGGAGTACCTCCAGCCTAGGGATTTCTGGTCACTTCTTGCTGCAATCTTGCTTCAGCACTGGATTTTTCTGATCTTAATTTCTTGCTGTGTATGACTGGTTTGTTCTTGCGTAAGTACTAGGCTGTGAACTTCTCAGAGGAGGAGAAAAAGGGGGAGGGAGTAATGGAGGCAGTGAAAACACAGGTGGCTTGAGTTATATTTGTCTTTTTTGAACAGATTAATCACTCTGTTGATTTATACTGTCCACCAACACAAGCTTATTGTGAGGTACTGAAAATATTTTTTTTTTACTGATTGGAAAATTGAGTGACTGCAGTTCTTCCACAGCTTTGATAGTTAGTTACACTCCCGCAATTGTTCTAAACTTCAAAACAAAGGTTCTTCCTACCTTTATTTAACTTGCTGATTTACTATAATAAATTTTCATAGTATTTTTTCAAGCGGATATGCCAGATGAAGTTGATATCAGTGCTTTTATTGATAAGAGTTGTAACCTAATGTGAGCATTACTTTCTGCTATGCATTATTTTTAGCTTAAGACAACAGTGTTACATAACAAGGGAACATAACTGAAGACTAAATATTGGCTATTAGTGAAAAGTGTCTGAAGTGCTACTTTGAGTACAGAGCAGGGAGTTTGCCAAGCTTCTGACTCATAAGAACAAAGAGATGGTAGTTCCTTCACTGGTCCTGAACTTGTTTGAAACAGAAGATGCTACTCGAGCCACGAAAATAAAATCCTGTTACAAGTAGCCTGATAGTCTGTATTACAATGTTGGACTGAAAGTGCACGAAGTGTGCAAATATCACCATGATTCCAGGCAAAAAAGAAAGAATGCCCCCATTTTGTTCCCACACCTTTGAATTTTATATGGAAGACCTTTTGAGACCATCTTCAGACCAGGTAAAACTACTTGTAGTATAGAGGGTAGATGGATGGAGGTGATGAATTGAATGATTTGACTGAAAGGTGTAAGATACGAATTTGTCTAGACTTCTAGTGGAATACAGTGCTACAAATACTGGTCAAATGGTGTGAAGGAAGGTTGTTGGATACTTACGTGCCTTTTATACTTGATACCACCTGAACATCATTCTGTATTTCACGAAGATGAAATACCTTCATGCAGTGACAGAAGTTAAGAGTTCTCTCAGGATGGGTACCTGGAAAGACCTTTGTGATTGGTCTGTGTTAGATACACATAGGCCCTCTCATGAAGCCAGAATCCCTGGCAATGTTCACCAATCCTTTTTTAACAGAAATATGCAATTGTCTTACTGAGGGAAGATCTACAGATACTGAATGCCTTGTCTACAATCAGAAACTAGATGGCAGAGCAGTGATTCAAATCCAAGGCTAGCACCCTAGCTTTGGTTGTCCTTCCCTTATTTGCCCCCAAATATTTTGTAGCTCCCACATAATCAGAAACCCTGGCCTGAGTCTTCTCCAATCAAGACTAAGTTCTAATTCTTATTTTAAATAAGACTCAGATCTAGTCTGATGTCTCGTTATGAAGCATCCCTGGCTTTCTATTATCTGTGTTCTACATTAGACTTATTTCCACAGCTCCTTTACCACTGAAGATCACAACAATCTGTAGGCAGTGTATCGGCTGAATACATTACTGAGCATCTTGCAGTGTATGTTGGTGTTCAGAATTTTATGGGCTTGGGAATAGTGCAATTGTATGAGATGAATTAATAAAGAAAAGCATTATAATAGCAAAAGATGCCAGAGAAGAGTCACATCTTACTGTAGAAATAAAAAGAGACCTTTTATCATAGGGAAAATGGAGTAAATGACAATGAAATCTTATGTAGACATAAGAAAAGTGAGGCATGCGAAGTGAAACACTAAGTATGTGAGAAACAGAAGAATGAAAGACAAAATAAGAATAAATAAATTCTAAATAAGAATAAAGGGTCCTCTGGGCTACAATTCTTTTTCTCATAACACTGAGAAGATGGCCATCCCTAAATACTGCCAAGAGTATGTAAGCAATAATGCATGTTTTTTATTGGAAATGATACCAAGGAACAGATTTGTGTTAGTGATTGCTTGCAAATGTTTACCATTGCTGAGTATTTAATAAATAACAATGATTCATATTGTGGTTTTACTAGTGTGCTTGCAAATTTTGTAAAGAATAGTATATGCAAAACAGCCTGAAGATCCAAGTACTGAAGTCTGAAAATGTCTTGTGCATTTATTAACAAAAATCAGAAGCTAAGTAGGGCTGTGTAAGTGTTTCAAAGCTTTAGTATTTATTGTTTTCTTTCTCCCTGTTAACTATTGGTGGTACCATTTGCTTTAGAGGTATGGACCAGAGCAAGGAATTCTTCCCAACTACTCCGCTGCCAGGTTACAAATATAACTCATAGACTTCTGCCCGCACGTAATGCTATTTTGCCCCATTTTTATGGTTTTGTTTTTTCTTTGTTTCATTAAAAGCAGATGTTTGACCAGCCAAGGTTTTACAGACTTCATTACCAGTAGCTGATTAAAATCAAAAGATGCACAGGAAATAAGTGAGTCTGGCCACTTTCTGCATCTGCTCTCATGTTGGAATGGAAGCTGCGCACTGCCTAAGGAGGGTAACTATCAGGGATACTATAAATACGTTTTAATCCCTATTTTCTCTCTAGATCATTTTATAAGTCCTTCAAAATATTTGCGCAATAGCTGTGATAAGCAACAGCATCCTGGGGTAAGTAAGAGCCTGGAAATGACAGAAGTTTTCTCAGCTCTTGTCAGAATTTCCCAGTGCAGATGGGCAATGCATGGCAATAGAGTTCATGTACTTACCCTTACCAAAATGGTGAATAGAGGTTGCCTTTGGCCTTACTGGAAGCACTAAGTGACAGTAAATTTGCTTTGTGCAGGACACTCTTCTGGGAAATAAAGGCATTCTCAACACTAAATTAGATTATTCTTAATTTAAATCTATGTTTATGCAAGTTTTCAGTTAACCTTAGGTTTAACATTCTCTGCAGTGATTAAAATACTGTGTTCACTTGCAGAATGGTCTCTATTTTGGTCTGAAGCTAGCAAGCCTAGGAAGAGAGAGACCTCACGAGGAAAGGCCTCTATTTTTTGTTCTGTCAATGCTTGTCTGTGTGTCATTACTCACAATAAATGGCTCCTTATCTGTTATGCTGTCTTCTTAATTAAGAGGGCTCTGGTGTATAAAAGTGAAGACTGCAATGATCACCCATGGTTCTTCTGGGGATTAATGTTTCACTGTGGTATGTGTTGGGTCTGTCTGGGACGGAGTCACCTTTCCCTGCAGCAGCCCACACAGTGCTGTGCTCTGCACTCGTAGCTGGAGCAGCACTGGTATCACTCCTGTGTTGTGTCTATTGCTGCATAGTGCTTATTGTAGGACTTACTGTTTCTTTTGTTTCTTTTTCTCCCCGTTCCCCTTCCCTTTAATTAAACCATTCTCATCTCAAACCTCGAGCTCTCTGTGTTGCATTTTCTCCCCCTTCCTCTTCAAGGAGAGGGGGAGTGAGAGGGCAGTTGTGCTGGAGCTCGGCTGCCCACCCGAGTAAAACCACCACATGGTAGAAACGTCAAAACATAGGTTAAATAGACATTTAGTCCCATAGTTGTTTGTTTGTTTGTTTGTTTTTTCTTTCCCAAATCCATGCAGATTTCACAGCTATTTTCTGCTATAATTGTGACAGAAGCATCTGCAACCCTCAAATGCAATAAATCCAGTTATCAGGTATACCAGTAAAAACAACTTCAGCCAAAAAAAAAAAAAAAGTACAGGCAAAACCAGTTAAGTTTGTTAGCAAGACAGTGTCTTTGATGCATGTTAACTATAGTGCCTCACTTCCCTTGACCTCCACAAGCTGTTCTGTGTTTGAATAAATCTCAGCTACAAGAGGAAGCTCTGTTCCAGTGATGTGCAGCTTCCTCCTTTGTCTGATGTTAATGCAAAATGTGCTAACTCACAAAGGTTTTTCCCTTTCCCTTCCCTTTTCCCTTTTCCCTCTTCCCTTTCCCTTTCCCTTTCCCTTTCCCTTTCCCTTTTCCTTTTCCTTTCATTTATTTTTTAAAAATTATCTTTATTTTATTTTTTATTTTGAGAAGGAGGGAATAATTAGAGTGTCTTTCTCTTTTACAGCTCTGTGAGCATGTGCTGGAACAGTAATTTCTCCTGCTATACCTTTTGAGGCAGAATTATGTGGATACAAATGAGGAGACTTCCCTATGAAATGAGTTATTTGGATAAATCCCTCAAGAAGTTTTCATAAAGTTGCATTTTGTTTCTTGATTTAAAAGTGTAGGAGAAGACTCTGAACTAGTGTCCTACCCCAGACAAAAGCATGATCTACATGCCTAGAAGTTTGGATATATGGATTAAATGTAAGTAATAATGAAAAAGGTGGAATTTATAGCATAGAATGTATAAATTTTATTTGCTCCTATCACAAGGCTAAAGTATGCTTACACTGAATCCACACTGGGTTTTATGCTTATTACTCAAGCAACATGAGAGAAAGCATTTCAAAGCAAAAATGCTGGCTGAGGTGGTAAAAAGATGAGGTTACTAAAAAAAAACATGGTATTTATTAAAACTCACAGAATGAGAATCTTCCAAGCAGATGTTTTCCAATTAAGTCTATAGTGAAGCAGGTGGTCCAATCGGTTTTGTTGGAGTTTTCTAGTAACAGAGGACTGCTTGTGAAGCATACTGGACTCATAATTATTGTTAGTCTGGATGGTTCAGTCTCTGGTTACATATTCGTTCCATAAAAAAGGGAGAGACAGACAAATTGAGTAACGGCTCATATTGTTTGTTTTGCCTGCAAAGGTTTGGAAAAAAGTTGGCAGGCCAGTCATGTATCGTTAATCCCTGATTATTCAGCTACTAAATTTTATTCTAAAATACTAAGTATTTCATAACACTATTTTAACCTATTACCTGTTGCTGCCCTAATGTTAATCACATCTAATTGTGGCCACAAACAACACACTGAGATAGAGTAGATTCAATAGACTGCAGGTGCAGACTTTCTCAAACTTCAGTGAGAAGTAGAGCACTGAGGTTTCCTTCTTTCTGGTCAGGACAGGATGTATAGCTGAAGGGAATAACAATTTGGTAAATTCATTAGTCAGGAGGACCATAATGCAAAATATACACGTTAGTAGATGAGTAATCTCTGGAGATTTGCTCTATGGTCTTTTACGAGAACAGGGTAGACTACTGATTCTACAATACATCTGAAACTGAAAATCATGCTGAATTTTGCGCATGATTACATTACTTGAGTAGCTTGCTCTCATGACAGATCTGTCACTCTTTGGTTAAAACTGTAAATCAAACTGCCATCCCTACAGACACGCAACCCAGATAGCAATGTGTGAAGTCCAAGTCTGCCTTTACATATTATCAATGCAGAGTGGGTTCAAAACCAGAAGTGATTTATTGTGCAGTTGTGGTTCGGAAACCACAGTGACAAACCTTAAAAAGAAGACAGCCTCTTACCTAAGTTTATTTCCTTCTGCAGCTCCTTCATAGTTATCATCATTGTCTTTATGTCTCCTTGGAGTGGAACATTTCAGGCAGGTCCAAGCAGCTATTTGTTAGGCTCACTGCCTTGCTGAATTGCATTGTTTTATTTTCTGAACTTGTCAGACACTACATTTACTAAGTCTTGTGGCAATCCATATTGCAGTTATTTGTAGAATCTTAACATTTTTGGATTTGTTTCCATCACATAGGTTTAAAATACATAATGGCTATGCCTCAAAATGCTGACCATTTCCACAAATGTGTATAAACACACACACACACAAACATATATTCTCTTTTGGCTTCTTTATGTTCTTTGTCTGCATGATGCATGTGAGAAGGAACATAGCACATGCAGCTTGATTCATTCCTCTTAAAATCAGTATTGGTAGACCTGGTCAACGATGAATGTTATTTCCATATTCAGTTCTTTCATACAATTTGTTGCTGTTTACTGGTCAGGGGTTTAGTAAGCTTCCTTTTGTTTTATGTATAGAAATGCTTTGGAGTTAATCAGGATAATGAAATATTCCTGGATTTGTGTCTTATGGACAACTAGTTTCACTAATAATGGCCCTTCTGACCTAGCTCTCTGAGAAAGCTCTGGCAAAGCCTTCAAAGCTGTTCGTGGCTGTGACAGCCTCAGTATGCAGAACGTTTGATTTTTAAGAGGTATTTGGATAAATAAATACATTTGAAGGCTTTTTGCAGTAGATACTTAAGAATCCTTTCAGGGGAAACTGGAGGCTCTTGCACCAGTTGTCTGTGAACAGCCCTGTCTAGATTGCAGGCATCAGCACGTTTGTTGGCAGCATCTCACCTGGATTTAATTAAACTGACAGGAGCACACCAGCGGCTGCAGTGCAGGCTGCTCCCGTGAGCCTTGCTGGTAACGTAGCACTGCCTGTGAGCGTGCAAGGCACCTCGTCGTGAGCTGCCTCCTGCTCACACCACGGCCTTGCTGCTTCCTAATGAGCATGGCAGCACAGGTTGGGTTGTGGCCACGTCAGGGTGGGTGCCTCAGTTCCACATGGAGCATGCAGCACCAAGTGGAGTCCCACCAGGACCGCAGCCCAGGCGCTGAGCGGATGCCTGGACAGCCAGGACACGCGGGGCGAGTCACAGCTGAGGGATCTCTGGTTGAGTAACAGCCAAGAACTCAGTTGCACGCTCAGTTTGGAATAAGCCAGCTTCCTAAGTGCATAAAACTGCCAGGGCTTGGCCTGCTGAGTGTCCGCCGACCAGTTCACCACCAACAGTGCTGCTTCCCCCAGCTGGTTCCAGTTGCGCTTCTCAGGTTCAGCCCTCACCACATCTGCTACCACAGGCAGGTCGGGAACGGGGTAAGAAAATCTGCTGTGCGCGTGGCTAGTGCCAAATGTCTCACATAAACAGGGGCTGACTTGCTGCTGCCATAGAAGGATTTGGCTGCTGGTGGCCTCTTGGGTGACACGGCCACGAGACCTCGTGCCTAAAGGCACCGAGAGGAGAGGTGCTGCTGGAGGCAGTCTGCTGGGGCCAGGAGCTGTGCCTGCACTGCTCGGCACTCCTGCAAGTGCCACAGGCAAACACTGCCAGGACATGGCATATCCTGACCTACAGAAAGCAACAGGTCAGCCAGAACAATATCTGGCTGTGAAGAAACGAGCTGTAAGCGTGCCTAAAAAGAAAAAAAATAAAAGCGAAATGACAGCGGGCAGCGCTCTGCAGCCCGCTTAGTAGAAGCCCATTGTCACAAAGCTCCGCAGAATTATTTGGCCTGGTGTGGCAGCGCGTGTGCGTGTGTCTGTATGTCTGTCTGTGTGTCTGTATGTCTGTATGTGTCTGTGTGTCTGTCTGTCCCTCTGTGCCCGTCCCCGTGTGCACGCTGGGCTCTGCCCGGCCGCCGCTCTTCGGGCGCCTCCCCGCGGCACTGCCCGGAGCAGCCCCGGCTGAGATAAAGCAGATCTGGTGTTTGCCTGCCCTGCGTTTAAAGGCAGCTGGTCTTCGGGCACATTTATTTGAGCATTTTTTTTTTTACCCGCGGTTGTGGCTGCAGATAAACTTTTTAATTTCTACAGAGCGGCGCTGGTTCCTTGTTGCTTCCAAGCGTGGTCAGTTCTTGACTTCGCTGCATTCATCAAGCAGTGGGATGCGTGGGTAATAGCACTAACATCTACTTGCTGGAGGTTCTCTGGTCTGTAGTAGAGAAAAAGTAGCAGGGAAATACTGACTAGACAGCAACAACTGCTTACTGGTGTGGTAAAATGGCACATGGAATTGTTTTCAGAGGCAAGCTGACTTCAGTGGAACAAAAAATTGCCTTGTTGGACTGGGGGAGATACCCGTAATTTATATCTAAATCCTCCCTTAGAAAGTTGAGAGTTAAGATGTTACCAAAAACAAAACAAAACAAAAAAAAGTCCTCTCTTGAAATAAAATTAATGTAGATTTATTTGCAATTAAGTTTCACTGAGCAGGACCGTGCCTTCTGGTTCGTGAAATGAGGATAGGATGCAATACTGCACTGTTAAGCACGCAAAAGTAGAGGAAGTCCAGATTTCACAAAATGGCCAAGAATGCTAGATGCCATTTCATTTTCAGTTTAGTCTGAAGTGTGAAACACATGGTCTTCAAAAAAAAAAAAACCCAAAACACCTGCAACATAGACTTGTCTTAATCCATGAGTCACAAACCAATCTGTAATTGTTCCAATTAGCTGCCTCACTCTTAAACTCTTACAGTTTACTGTTGATTTTCACTTTAAACTTTCTTAACAGGATGCAAAAATAAATTACCCTCTGAAGCTGGTAATCCACAAAATGGCTCAAAAGACACGTGACTATTTTTCTAAAAAATTGATATAATAGGACAAATCATGCTGGCATCGTTAAACAAAAATATTTTTCAAATCTGAGTGGACAGAAGAAAGGCAGGAAAGAAAGGCATCTATGCAGAATAGAGAAACCAGAATGCCTTCCTGTGTCCTTTCTTCCCCTTTCAGTCCTCTTTTTTGGGGAGAAAGGGGAAGAAATCCTGTTGCTCAGTTCAGAACTGTGGAACATGCACGGTTCCAGCAAGGGAGCAGAGGAGTGCAGGTTGCTTTGTTATTTAGTGTCATTCCCACACCCCTACCCCAAAAACAGAAAGTAGTCTGCAATGTGAGTTGTTTGCTTAAATTGCTGATTTAACCTAAAAGTTCAGGATCTTCATGGAAAGGATTCTGTTCTGGGGGCAGATCTGGCCACTGCAAAGCAGATGGGAGCTAACAGGGAGAAATAACTGTTTAGGTGGCAAGGACAATTTTTTTTGTTTGTTTGTTTGTTTTCTATTTTAATGGAGATAGATATGTGTGTGAGTGTGTGATGTGGTGGTAAAGATCTGAGTTGCAGAGAAAGCAAATGATTTGTCCAGAGCAGCACAAGAAGTCTGTGGTAAAACAGGGCTCAAGTCCACAATAGGTAACTGGTCTACTGAACCAGCTTCTCTAGCTTCCTTTTTTTCTTTCCCTCTCTTCTGTAGAAAGGCTGCTTTTAGCTCTAACAACTCACTGAGACCTTGGCAAAGATTGTTAATAATTTTTTTCATACATAATGTCTCTGAGATCATTGTAGACTTTTATTTCTTGGATGCACAATGGATTATTTTGCTTCTGTTTAAGTTGTCTTCTTCTATAGCACTTTTGATTAGCAAAAACACAGGACTAAAGCTTTCTTTTTTTCTCTTTTTTTTTTTTTTTTTTTTTTTTTTAAGTTCTTCCTACAGAGAGGAACATTTAATTTCAGTTTTTAGTGGCTGGGCTTCATCACCGGAAATGACTATAGTGATTGAAGTTCCTCATAGCTTGAACGCAAAATTGACTTGTAGCTTGTTGCACTAAGGAAGCACTTTATAATATATGGTGCCTTTCTGCACCGGGAAATATGCAGAACCCGAGTGCACATGAAAGCACAGGCTTGCAGTCCCAGCCACCTCCCGAGGAGCAGAATTATGGAGCTACTGAAGCACATGAGAGACAAGGTCCATTTGTGTCAGTGTCAAGGAACAGACCAGCAAAGAGAGGTTACCTGACAGTTGGTGTGCTATGCTATGCGAATTTAATAAATTTCATGGACTGGTTTATTGTACCAGGTGAGAGTCTATTTCCTCTTTCTAAGGAAAAAGAAATTTCTCGACAATTCTACTTATTCCTTAGCTACAAATGTTTCGTAATGTAATGGTATACTTCTAAATGTCAGTTTAATCTTTCTTGCTTAATTGCTTTAGCCTGTTGCTCATGCTCTCTATGAAACTTGCAACTATACATTTGAAAGATGAATAAATGATCTATTAGTTATTAGTTGTTAATAGAACTCTTATACAAATCATGTTTGTTAAATGCTTAAGAGTCATAGTTTTAAAACTATGTTACAAACAGACTTTGGTATACAGAGTAAATAATCTATTTTCGTGTCTGGATTCCAGAGCTATGACTAAGAAACTTCTCTTTATTGTGTACAGCAGCTTATGAAGCCTTCCTTGGCTTAAATACATTAGATGTGGTATTCCTGTATCTGAAGTGATGACATTTGATGACATTCCCTCCATTGAAAGTACAAAAAATTACGTTATCATTGTACAAGTTTGTCTAAGGAAGATTTAGCTTCCTTATGAGCTTGTGGAATGTATGTGATTTCTGCAATGAAGAGTGTAACGTGACAGTGTACAAAGAATGGAAACCCATTTCTCTAAGTATCACCTACCAAATTTAGAAGATGTTTTCTAATAAATAATATCCTTCTTCCAAAACATTTGTTTTTGATCTAACCATGAACAACTGTAAACTGTGGCCTGTATGAATTCTTCTGCTTAGAATCACCTCTAAGCATCTATCAGGCTTCCAGGGATCTTATTCAGAAATGTACAGGAAACACTTGCGAGCTTGCTGCATTTTACTTCTGAGTGTCCTGGAAATCATAAATATTTTAGAACCTCGTGAAAACCTCAAGGATGGATTACTAAATCTGGAATTAATATCTAGTGTTAGTACACAAGCTAGTCATTTTTACTATTTAGACCATTAAGAAATTTAAGACATTCAGTCAGTATCTTTAAAAATTGAGAGGCTAGTGGGTTTAGGAGTTAAAACTTTTTTTCTACTGAACATTTATTAACCGCACATGTAAGAGGGAAGGAAACAAGTAGGGGTGCACTGCTGAATGATATTGCAAGACTGCTAGTGAAAAAAATCCTGTGTATGAATGCTGTTGTCGAATAACTTTCCCTGGAGAAGGGTAGGGGACAGGAGAGGACAAAAATACCTTTGAGCAAGAACTGGAATGCAAGGAGGGTATGCACTTGGAAGTATGAAGTGTCAACAGTCATTTGGCTCATTCCTGGCTTTGAACTATTCTTTGACTTCTGTACATGCAGAGTTTAAAATTTTCAAGAAGGCCTGCGAAGTAAAGGTGGCCGACCAGCTGACACGCTCAGTTCCCTTTGGGGACTTGTACAATCCAAGAGCAGATGTGGGGGTTATATCCAGGCCCTTGAAATAACAGACATCTACTTTAATTACAATACATGACTAAAGCACTTTTTCATCAACTCTGTGACCTCCTAGTCCATGATGGGAATTCTGTTTACAAATCGCAGTCCGTATCAGAGCAATCTACTCTTATCTGCCAGAATTTAGCTGCAGTGCCGAATTCTTGCATCAGTACTTTTGAGTTTGGCTCCCATAGATAAGATATCTTGTTAAATGTAAGTTAACAGGAAGGTAAAAAAGCAGAGGCTCGAGTACTTGTTTAAAAGTAATCTGGTGGCAGTTAAGAGGTTGTGGTTTCCAGGCAGTTTTGCTCACAAGATTTGACAGAGTTTTAATTGATCTTCACATGGTAAATAAGCTCTTCCATTTAGTTGTCTGCTAGAACTGAGACTTCAAGTCATTAAAAATAGTGATCGTGCAGAGTTTTGCCCCTCTAATCTGTTGCTCTGTTCCAAGCTGCTCACATCAATGCCTTGGCATTTGCCAGTATCTGGTCAGGCCAGTCGTTCAGTTGTCTGGAGGGGATAATGTTTTAATGGTGCTCAGTTTGAACATCGGTTTGAGCTGAAATTGTGGTTCAGACCAGGTCTTTTAATAGCTGTGGTTTGTAACAAGTAATCCAGTAGTTAACAACTGAAGTTCCTGTAACTGCAGTATTTCTGTGTGTTGATAATCACCTACCAGGAGAGTAGATACTGTCCATTGCTGTGTTTTAATTCTGCCAATTTCCCTTGCCTAAGGCAGACCTTCAGCAGATATTTGTTGTTCTGAATGAGGTCACAGACTTTAACTTCTGAGACCACTCAGGAAACTCTAAATATGTTCAATAGTCATTGAGAAACAGCTATAAGCCCCCCGGTGCTGCTGTTAGGCTGGACCTTGGTCTGTACTGACTTGAAGTCCCATCAGTAAATAGTGAGGAGACTGATTACACTGCAGCCACGAGGGCTGTGGGAGAGCATGCATTTAGCTTTAAACTAGCTGTCTCAAGAGTGCTTTTCAGTTGGCTGCAGCAGTACAGGACATGGCATTACATTTAAAATCCGCTGTAGGAGCAGAGGAGATACCTCTTGCTAACCTCACCCTGAGCTCCATTCTGCTGCAGATCAGCTTCTAGAGGCAGGGCGGACAATTTCACAGAATGCGTTGTCTTAAGTGGTGGCTCCATCCCTGAATAACATTTTGATTTAGACTATAACAATTGGCAAAAGTAAAGCTGCAACAGAACACACTTCTGTGTTGAGATCTTTCAATGTCATCAAAGTATGGTTATTCAAAATAATATCTTTGACTGTTTTTACTTTCTGTTTCAGAAATACAATGCAAAAATGCAGGCTGGGTGTGATGGTAGATCTGCAGCCTTGGAATGACAGAGAGATGAAAATGAGCTTTTTGTCTCAGAAGCATTCATGCATCCATGAAGTGCCTGATCCATGGATCTTCCCTCCGATTATTACTTTTGTAGCTTGCTTCCACACTTTTTTACAATTCTTCTAACCTTTTCATCAGCTATTGAATAGTTAGAAATTGAGATAGAATTTCTGTCTGCTATTTATCACAAATAGAAACAATCACTTTTGGTGAAGTTTGTCTGTCACCATCACCACTAAAAAAATGTTAATTTGTAAATCCACAGTTATTTACATCTCAGCTGATCTCTGCAAAACTGTCATGGAACCATAGTCCAATCAAAATAACTTCTCTCTGAATTACAGTAGTATTTCCCTGGCTGATTTTGCCACCATTGGCTAATGAGGACTGTAGCCATCTGCATTCTGAAAAATCCAATACTCATTAATTTGAATGTTGTATATTCTGAAACTGTTAGCAGTTTCAACAAGAAATACAACGGTTGTGATTGCAATAGTCAGTAAACTGACTTTTGTAAGACTATACAGATAGTGGAAGATCATGAATTTTATCTACAGTGATAAGAAATTTTAATTCTCTGTGTATCTAAGTTTGTGGTAATGGTTTACGTGTAAACTGGGAAGCTAAATGTGCTGCCGTTCTTGCAAGCCCTCTTCTTGAAATGAATCTTTGAGTTGGCAAATGAGTAGAATCACAAAGAATAAATAGTGTACTTTGCTGTCAATCAGTGTTTGACTCTATTGCAGGGATCCTGTTGGATATACAGCAATACTTTAATCTCAGAGATGAGGAGGCAGGTCTACTGCAAACAGGTAATAAAATCTTTTGAATTCAGATAGCTTGCTTTGCCTAGTGTCTATATGGTCTGTTCCTAAAATACAGTCTGTAACTTATCATTTCTAGTTCCTACTTGTGTATGGTATTACTCTTGTGGGCAGGCAGACTAAAATGTGAAACTGAAAGTCTTTGGTTCAAGAAAGACTAGGCTTAAGTTCTTCAAGAATCCCACAGCATGTATTAAAGAATTTCTCAGTTAAGAAATACAGAACTTGAGCAATTCATGCCTGTTTTATTTTATATATATATACATCTATGTTCTTTTCTAATTGCCTACTATTTCTTCAAAGTCAGCCCGCCTTCAGTCTTTACACTAAAAAATAAATTGAGTTCGTCTGAGGGCTGAGAAGAACCATAAGAGTAATTTGACCAATATTGTACTTGTGCCTCTTGGATTTCTAGCCTTCATCTTGTGTTACATGGTGGCTGCCCCCTTCTTTGGATACCTTGGTGACCGGTACAACAGGAAAATCATCCTTGGAGCTGGTATTTTCTTCTGGTCTGCTGTAACATTAGGAACCTCATTCATCAGTGAATCGGTATGTTGCTGTTTTAGAGGATACTAATAAATCATCTGCATATATCTGCAGGACTTGATAGAGTCCTCCTCTGATCACATTTGGAAAAGCTGTCGGAGAGCACTCGCTCCCCAAGCCTGGACTATATGGACTTCGTGCTGGAATGCTTTATAGGATGGTAAAGTCCAGACGAGGCAATGGAGCACCTACACATTACTGTTGCAATTGCTGGGATCTTATTTCTCTCCCGCATTCTATTGATTATGACATTAGGGTGTAATGCATTTTCCAGCAAGCCTGGATAATTTATTGACCATATCCTCAAATTCTGTTGGTGTGTCACTGTAAGAAGGAAACAGCAGTGGGATGTTAAGGGAAGTAGGTGTGAACAGATGGGCTATATACAAAAGGCAGCTGAATTCTTATCTGCTCTGCTATATTTGACCCACTAAAATACACCTCTTTAGCAGTAAGATTTCTTTCTTGGACTTTTATGGACTATAATATATCTTTTGTCTGCAGTATCACTGGATGTTCTTTCTTTCACGGGGACTAGTTGGGATTGGCACGGCCAGTTATTCCACAGTAGCACCTACCATCATTGCAGACCAGTTTGATGAGGGAAAAAGGACCACAATGTTATCTGTCTTCTATATCTGCATTCCAGTGGGAAGGTTGGTTTTCTCGATGGTAATTGACTTGCCTTTTGAAATTCTGTGTGACCAGGCCTGTAATTCAATATACCCTCAACCTTGATTAAACAGATTTTTACATATATCTGCATTGGCAAAAGGATTTGTCACTTAATAGCATCTTTAAATAGCACTGATTAGGTTTATTTCTGTATTTACATTGAAGGAAAGATTGCTTTTTTCCCTCAAATTTAAGGGAGAATCTAAACTCTGAAGACAGATAAGCTTTGTATAAAACATTAAATCAATTCTGAAAGAAATGTGTGTGAGAGTAGTTTTTTATTTATTTGTTTGTTTATTTGAGAACAAGCTTTCAGACATTTTTACTTGACAAATTTTTTAGATCCCTTCATTAAACATCTTCCAAGGAAGAACTGGCACTTTCCTCTCATCTTTTAGTTAAAGTGGCATGTGTGAAGGAGAGGCAGAAAAGGGCTTTGTAAATGGTTCATATTCTTTATTAGAGCAGGCAGTCAAGGTTGAGGCCTGAAACCAGATTAAAACTAAAGGAATTCCTGCAGGGTGTATTTCACATGGCTAGCACAGAAAGGAACAAATAATAAAGCACTTTGTAGGCTGCCTAATCTAGGTTTGCAGTGTCATCCTACAGAACATGTATTCCAAGTGAAATCTGGGACATTATTACCACTGCCTAAAGGCTGCTCTGACTTTAGACTCTCTTTTTAATACCCATTTGCAAGCACACTAGCATAGACCATGTGGGTTGTTTCTGCTTACCTATTTTGAAAACTATGACAGAACACTCCCCAGTGCTCTCCTTAGCCAGTGAGACATGTCATTTCAGCCAGAAGAGTTCATTAGTGCCTACTGATAATCCCTTTCTGTTGCTTACAGTGGTCTTGGTTATGTCCTAGCATCCAGCATGGCAAATGTCACAGGTGACTGGCACTGGGCATTCCGGGTGAGTTATTCACTTTCACTCATGGGGCTGAGCTGTTCATTGTAAAATCATAATTTTGGCTGGGGTTTGGATTACTTGTGTTCGTTGCATAGACTTGAGTGGTGGAGGAGCTTTCTGTTCTCTGACTGGTCATGAACTTGGTGTTTAAGAGAACTCTTCCTGCAAGACAAATGGAATACTTATGCCTAGCTCCTTCAGAATGAAACCAGGCATAGGGGAAATTGTACATTAGCCAGGGCAGGTGTTGTTCCTCATACCTGAGTACACGCTTGGAATGGTTGTCAGTGCACCAAGATATCCTCAAACAGAGGAAACTGAAGGTAAAATGATCTTTGTACTGGTAGCACCAGTATAATTCTTCAGGAAAATAAAGGGAAGGTAGCCAGGTTATTTTTTTATTTCTTTTCTGAGATGCTGTTAGGAATAACTTCTAGTATTTGAGGGTTTCAAGAAAAAAAAACAACAACACTTCTGTTTTGGTCATGTCATCACGATGTCTCCACATATTGAGCACCTAGTGCTTTGGAAATACTTTTTCCAGATCCTCATAACTTATCTGTAAAGTTAAGTACCAATTACAGGATATGTGAGGAAGAATGTTTACTGGTATGACAGTCTTTTATGGCTGCATCCTTTGTGATCAGAGTACTCCAATATAGTTTTCTTTATGTTTTCCTCCAAAATCACAGAATCACTAAGGTTGGAAAAGCCCTCCAGGATCCTCTGGTCCAACCACCCCTTCCACCACAATCACCCACTAAATCATGTCCCTAAGCACCACATCCAACCTTCCTTTAAACACCCCCAGGGACGGTGACTCCACCACCTCCCTGGGCAACCCATCCCAATGCCTAACAACTCCTTCTCAGAAGAAATTTCTCCTAATTTTCAACCTGAAACTTCCCTAGCACAACTTGTGAGCCATTCCCTCTTGTCCTATCACTAGTTGTCTGTGAGAAAAGGCTGATCCTCAGCTCCCCACAACTTCCTTTCAGGTAGTTGTAGAGAGCATAAAGTCCTGAGCTTCCCCTTCTCTAGACTAAACAATCCCAAGCAATCATGTATCTGTATGATGGGGAGAGGGAATCTATTGTCCTTCCTCCATAGTCACCATAAACTACCAAAATCCACTCTTCTTCTTTACACATATGACTTGTAGACAGAAAGTCACATTAATTTCTGAGCAATCTGTAATTCTCCAATATGTAATTCTAGCATTGAATCTAAATTGCTGTGGAGTTTTTTCTGTAAGAAAAAAGGTATCCTGGACTTAACCACCTTTGTGTCTACAGGTAACTCCTTGCCTGGGAGGTATAGCACTGGTTCTTCTGATTAAACTGGTCCCTCACAAGATCCAGAGAAGGACAGAAGCACACAGAGCATTGAGCATCTCAGGCACAATACGAGTAGCAGCTGAAAAACCTGGTGTACAGAGATCTGCCAAGACTACTTGGTGGCAAGATGTCATATCACTTGGCAAGAAGTAAGTGATTTAACAACAAAGGTTTCTTCCACTGAAAAATGACCATTCCACTATTAGAAATATGGCCTTTGAATTCTGCTCAGCTCCTCTGTACTACATGCCGTATGCAAGATAATTGACACCATTAATGAAAGCTTTCTTTCACTCATTTACAGAAGTAGTATGTAAGAGATTCAAATTTGTTTTTTTTTTTTCCCTACTATCCTGCCATTTTGAGGAGGGGGAGGAAGGAAAAGTTATGATGGCAGTGTGCTCCTGTTTAAATCCAATTCTACTTTTCTACTAAGTTTCCCCTTCCCTCTTGCTTTAACTTGTAGGGTAGGCTAGATAGGTAAAAGTGCACGTTTTGCAGGTGTAACTTTATCTGTAATTCTTCATGCCCAAAGAAGGTTATCAGCATGTCTCAGGCAATCTTTATATGGTATTGGAGAGCCTGCTGTGCCTCTGATAAAAGAGGTCAGATTCTGCAAGACCCCAATATGGTTTAAAAAGTAATTGTATGTGTGTTTCAACCAGCTAACCTGGGTCAGGCAGATGACCTCTTGCTTGTAACCGCACAAAACTTAAAATCAACACCATCTGACCTGCAGGATGAAGTAAAACACTGATTGCAGCCAGGTTACCCTGTAGTTAGTGAAAACCCTCCCAGGGTCAGGGAGTAAAAGATGGATCTGGTTTGAGAACAGCAGGTGCCGCTGTGCACCTGCGCCAGACCTGCTCGACACTGCCTGTGCCTGCAGGCTGCTTTCCCAGGAGTCCCGATTAAATGCTTTTAGTTAAAGACATGCACCTCTCGCCTCCCTGTGAGATTTTTTTGGAGTGTTCCTCTTCTGGAGGAGCCAGCATTTTCTAATTGGTGATTAGATTTGCATCCAATTTGCATCTGGAACAGCAAGTACATTAGAAATCCTGTTTGTTGGATCACAATTTGAAGGCAGTAGAAGTCTGAGGTGAATCAAAGAGGAACCTTCCTGACATTTCAGCAGCCAGACTAATGTCAAAGTTGTTTTTCCTGTGACAATGTTCCTTATAACCTCCAGCAATGTTGTAAAAATAGATTCTCATTTTCTTTTCCTTTTGGTACTGATTCCCAAAGCATAAGGACATACTCTTTAAAGCCAGGTGGTTCCACACTTAATTAAGTGCAAGAGCCATTTATCTTTAAAAGATGAAGAATTAGATTCATATCCTAACAAATCTTCTTGTCCAGTGGTCAGCTGGTCATTTGCAGCACTGTGAAGCCTTAAGACTTCAAGACTCCTCATTGACCTCAAAGGAGACTTTCTATAAACTATTAGCTAGAAAAGGACCAGTAAAAAGTTGATTTTCTACTACAATGGGGCAGTAAGGTGACATGGTTTGGACAATTTAAAAATGTTTCTTCTTTTATCTGCTAGTTCTCTGTGCAGACTGAAAGTCAATTTACTCAAGTAGAGTTAAGCAGTGCTTGAACCACTGCATCTTAACAGTTTGAAAGACCCAGAAGTTACTCTCATTTATATTGGTTACACAAGCACCTGAAAACCATCCTAAGGCATTTAGGCTTGCACATAGAACCCTTTCATTTAGCTACTAAGCCACTAAATTGTTGCCCGCTCTCTGTTGTTGCAGTTCTACTAACAAAAGGTCACAATTGTTTTAGCAGAAGTTGACAATAAAATCTGCAAGAGACCATGACTGGGATTTAACATGAAATCAATGGTCATACTCTTCACTCTAACTAGTATTTTGCTGTCAAAGTTCATAGATAAAGTGTCATCAAAATGCCTATCTTCAAGTGAGTGCATTTTGATTATAAGATATCTAAGTAGAGTGTTTTGTTATCACTTGAAATCCTGGATAGTGCACATAGGCACATCCTCACATCCCATTCTTTCAAATTCTCTCATTTCTTTCTTTTGACTTTCAGTTGCAGTTTTGTCTGGTCCACGCTGGGTTTGACTGCCATGGCCTTTGTTACTGGAGCGCTGGGAATGTGGGTACCGATGTTTCTTTACAGGGCTCAGGTTGTCCAGGGCACTGTATCACCATGCGTCGAAAAATCATGCAATTCATCTAACAGGTGAGGTGTGCGCAACTGTGGAAATACACATGGAAACACTGTACAGTGCTAAATCACAGTTTGTTTCCAAAGACAGAAGGTAGGATGTGACTGTGAATACTTTTTGTGAAGGCAAATGGGTGTGAATGTTAGACTAAATTGCTTCCAGGTATGCTGAGACACTCCTATTTATTTATTTGTCTATAATCATGCAGTTAACTGGAAAGATGCTGCCAAACCTATTTAAGTAAAGGGGAAATAAGCAGTAACAGCAACATTTACAAGGAAGAAAACTCAGCTGTAGAAAGGAGATTTCAGTTGACAATTGACTCTGTACCCCAAGTAACTTAAATACACATTTAAGCATGTTTAAGCTTTATATTTTTGTAACTTTGCTATTACTTTCCTGATAGTCTGTTTTTAAAACTACTCTCATGTTGGCTAGATGATTGTGAGTCCCAGCATGAAGCAAGCTTGATGAATTTGATCTAGTATTGTATTGCATCAAAACAGGATAATTTGTGAGGAACTGCCAGCAGAGCTCAACTTACAGAGACAGTCCAGACCAATAGAGATGCATGAAAAAGTGTCAAATTTGAGCTGGCAAGGTGAATTTGCAACAGGAGAGGAATCTGAAGTAATCATAATACATGTACAACTTGGTGGAGGTCTCTTTTGCCCAGCTTGGAAGAGAATTCTTTTCTTTACAGTGTGTTGTCCAGAACAGAAAAAGATATTCAGTGTTGCCCTTGAGTCTTCACAGCTGACCTTAACAACACTGAGCACTGTTGTACTTTTCACCTATGTACTGACTCCCTACCAGTGGCCTCCATGCAAGTGTCCCTACATTTCTTCTGGAAGTATCCAGATCTGGTTTCAGTCCCTATCTTCATGATGGATTTCCAAGAACTGCCTGCTTACAATCTTCTCTTTCCACATAGACAAGTAAAGGCAAAAACAGTAACCAAAAACTGTTATTTATTTATTTTTTTTCCCAAGGGAATAACCAAGTCAACTCAAAAGTTGTTTCTGAGTTGTAGCATAATGAGATGGCTAGCCTGATAGGAGACAACCACTGCAGCAAGGCCTTAAATGTACACATTTTCCCCTTCCTGCTTCATTTTCAATACAGACTTGAGCTCAGTCTGAAGGGAGCTGTCCAGTCATCCACAGGTACCTCAATGGGAAATGCAGTTGTCCTTCCATGGATACCACCACTGGCACATTATTTAATAGTGAATAATGCTGAGGAAATGAGTGAATTAGGAGTTTGGCTCAGGGTAGGCAGAGAGGGGAAGCTGAACCTTCAGATACCGTTTAAATACTTCATTTTTTAAGCTGATGATGTTAATCTTATGTTTTCTAATCCTCCTTCTCAATTATTATTCCACAGTAGTGTTGTTAGAGCAGACATAGTCCCCAGGGAAGCAAAAGGGAGCACCTGATAGTTTAACCTCATGTACTGCATCTTACAGGATGCTTTAAAAATAACCTTGGCATAAGCTAGTGCCAGAGGCAGCATAAGGCTGATTTTAGACCGTTATTCCAGAGGGATAGAAAGAAAAATAATATAAACAGTTTTGTCAGCCCTGTAGCTGACAATGCTGGGAGAACTGAGATGCACATTCCCAGACCTGCCCAGGGATACTTTAAGGACGCTGTCCCCTCTGGCCATTCAGCAATTGTAGGCTTTTATTAAGGATAAGGCCATGTCACTTGGACTCCCTGGAAACACAAATTCAAATAGCACCACAGCTGACTCAGGTCTCAATCCTTTCAGGGTAGATAAATAGGCACTATGAAATTTTTATTCTGGTCTTTGTGCAGACACCTTCAAACAGATCAGAGAGGTGTTTGAGCATTCTCAAACCCTAAAAGATCCCATAGAGTCCTTACCCTGGGATTAGGCTCTGCTGCTTCCCTTTTCCCTGTCAATTGAGCTGTGCTCTGGTTTAGTTTTGGCTGTTCCTTTTTCTTGTGTAGGTTTATTTCAACTGAAGCATATAACACACAAGTTTTCTAAACACAATTCCACTAATGCTTAGATAAAGTAATGCCACCTTGGAACTTGCCTCTCCTGGACAAATCTGTACATTACTTATTCTGTCTGTTCAGTCTACATTGTCACTAATAAGCTATAGTGAGTGACGGATCAGAATCATGAAAAACTTACAGAGTACAGCTGTGCTTAAGATTTGTTACCTAGTAGAGCAGTATTGTTTTTTCTTGTAGAATTACTGAATTCTTCCTAATCAGCCAGAAGGAGATGAAAAAGAGGAATCACAGAATCACAGCAACCTGAGTATCTCAGGTTGGAAGGAATCCACAAGGATCATTGAATCCAACTCCTGGCTCCACACAGGACTACCTAAAATTTAAACCATATGTCTGAGAGCACTGTCCAAATGCTTCTTGAACTCCGGCAGGCTCAGTTCCTTGACCAGTTTCCCTGGGGAGCCTGCTCCAGTGCCCAACTGTACTCTCAGTGAGGAACCTTTTTCTAATATCCAACCTGACCTCCCCTGTCCCAGCTCCATGCCGTTCCCTCGGGTCCTGTTGCTGTCCCCAGAGAGCAGAGCTCAGCGCCTGCCCCTCCGTTCCCCTCTTGAGGGAGCTGCAGGCCGCCATGAGGCCTCCCCCTCGGGCCTGCTGTGCTCAACAAACCCAGGGACCTCTGCTGTTCTTCATATGTTGTGCCCTCTAGACCCTTCACCATCTTTGTTGCCCTCCTTTGGACACTGTTTAATAGTTTTATGTCTGTCTCATATTGTGGTGCCCCAAACTGCACACAGTACTCGAGCTGAGGCTCCACCAGTGCAGGGCAGAGACAATCACTTTCCTCAGCTGGCTAGCAATGCTGTGTTTGCTGCACACCAGGATATGGTTGGCTCTTTCTCACTCATATTCAACTTGCCTTTGACCAAAACCCCAGATCCCTTCACAGGGGGGCTGTTCTCCAGCCTCTCATCCCCCTGTCTGTATCTATGTCATATCCAGGATTACCCTGTCCCAGGCGCAGGTTGTGGCTTTTTCTCCTGTTAAATTTCATATGGCTGGTGATTGCCCAGCCCTCTAGTTTACCAAGATCTTTCTGCAAGGCTTCTCTACTCTCAAGAAGTCAACAGCTCCTCCTAATTTATTATCGTCTGCAAACCTAGTATTCATTCAAGTCTGGCTTCCAGATCATTTATAAAAACATTGAAGAGAACTGGCCCTAAAATGGAGCCCTGGGGAACCCCACTGGTGACTGGCTGCCAGCCTGATGTAACCCCATTTACTATAACCTTTTGAACCTGAGCATTCAGCCAGTTGTTCACCCATCATATCATGTACTCATCAAGGTATATGCTGGACATTTTATCTAGAAAGATAGCGTCAGAGACAGTATCAAAAGCCTTGCTAAAATCCAAAAAGATCACATCTGCTGGCTTCCCTTGGTCAATTAGATGGGTAACATTGCCCTAAAAGAAAATTTAGATAATTAAACAGGACTTTCCCCGTGTGAACCTGTGTTGGTTATGACCAATAACTGCATTGTCTTTCAAGTGTTTTTCAATAACTTCCAGAATAATAATTTTACTAGGCATTGAAGCAGATGCACTGTAAATTAAAGGAACAGATCATATCCTAACTGGTTACTTTGCTTTGCATTTGGAAAAAGCTTAGGGCAGTGTACAAAAACTTTCCACATAGTGCTCTGAAAAATTTAGAAGCACTTGTGCTCAGAACACTATGCTTCGGTCACCATTTGCCTCAGGGGAGTTATGATGCATTAAACAATCAGTGGCACCACTAGTCTTGTTTCAAGAGACTTGCTTTGTCATTAGGATCTCATTTGGGACAGAAAGAAAAGCATATATGGAAGTCCCTCTGGAATCTGAATCTTCTATGCTATTTGAACACATACTTTTAATAACTTGCTGTTCCTGCAGAACATGTTTGCATTTGCAGACGCACAAAGCTGGGTGGCACTTGAAATTTTCCATTCAGAAAATATGACGTGGACCTCCTATTGGTTAACTATTCTTTGAACAGTTTTGGGTAGTGGTAGCTGTTTCCCATAATCAGAGAAGTGAGTTACCTCAGCCGTGCTAACCGGAGGGCTGTATTTTAGATGTATATAATTCCATGTGATAGGATCTCTTCCAGGACAGCAGATTGTGATACAGAGTTATTCCATCTGTGTTTTAGGGATGACTGAGTAAATTTGTTCCTAGGCTAACCGACCTATGTCTCCTCTGAATCACTGGATGTCCAAAGCAGATTGTACTCAGAAGAGTCCTCCTTGAGGCTGGTTGTGTAACACCTGCTCTGTAAATGGGAGAATATCTGTTCCGCAAGATCAAGCCTCAGTTGCAGGGGGCATAGCTGCAATTGAGGCATTGGGACTAAATCCATTTGGAAGGAGTGGGAAGGTTAGGTCAAGTAAAGTAAAATCCAAGTTGGCCACTAAAGATTTCTCTGAAACTGAAGGTATAACTAAAGGCTAACAATGGGCTAACAATGGGACACCCAACACCAGCCTTTTTGCAGACTATGATTTTACTGTGCTCAACTGTCTCCTGTGCTTTGTCAACAGCCTAATATTTGGAGGCATCACCATTGGGACAGGAATCTTGGGTGTTGTTGCTGGGGCAGAAGCTGCAAGAAGATTAAGGAAGATAAACAACAGAGCTGATCCTCTGATCTGTGCCACAAGCATGTTTGTTTCTGCTCTGTGCTTGTTCATAGCACTGATGATGGCCCAGAGGAGCATCACTTCCACTTTTGTAAGTGCCAATCTGTCTATCACTAGCAAAACGTCTTCTGCGATCCTGGGGAGACAGGGAAGGGGGGAAAGGAGGAGAAGGATTGCTATTGCTGGATTCCTGCAGTCATCTAGACCATTACAAAGGTTCAGCAAATGAGACAAAGTGGCCCACTAGCTAGGCAATGTGCATGTTGCTCTAGTATTACCTGCAGTGTCAGTCTGCCTTGGGAGGGCCCCAGTGTGCGTTACTTGTCCTAGTAAGGAGAGCAGTCAGTCAGAGCATTATAAACTGGAACTCAGGATCTATGCAATCTGCCCGGACTAGAGAAGAGGAGAGGAGTAAGCCTATGTAGTTAAAGGAAGTCTTGATCTTATGTTAATTTTTAATGCTATGTGACTAATTTAGTATTCTTGTGTCTTTTTGCTCCCTGAATACTTAAGGATTGGTGTACTTGGGACTGTGCAATACACACAGTTCTTGCTAACAATAACTTAGCCATCACCTGCAGTGCCCCAAGTCACCAGCTAATCTTCAATGTCAAACTTTTGGCAATGCAACCTGAAGTATAAATAATGTAAGGTCTCAGTAAAGGGAAAAACAGAAACTTACTTAGGAATGAAGAATAGTTCCAAAAACTCCCTGTGAGAGAGAACTGAATGTAAACCTTATTTTAACTATAATCTGGTAACAGCTAGGGAAAGACTCCAAGCTTTTTTTTTCTGTGAATCCATAGCCACCATTACCATGATTAACATAAATAAGAGGATCCAAGTAAAGTTAATTACAGTAATCAACAGTTCTGTGCAAAAGGGTATTTTTGCAGCTTTTTTTGCTTCTAAGAATAACACTTGTTCAAAGAGGTTTTCCTTTTGACACTCCTCAGGAATTCCTGTGGAAAAACACCTTTAAACCAAAGCTAAAAACAAATGGATTTGCATGTCTGTGTGTATGCACACAAAGCAAAATGTGAAATTAAAGATTATTTTTGGGTTCAAGAGCAGATATCTCAGTGCCAACAGAATTAGTCATTTTCTTTTTCTGCATCTCAGGCTCCCACATAGTCCTGCTCTGACTGTGTTCTTCAGTTCTCTTTTGTCATTAAAAGTGTAGCACACAACCACAACTGTGTTTGATTCGCCAGTCTATACTAGATGAGTGAATCAATGTATCAGTTTTAAATTACCCTTTTCCAAAATAAACCTTTTATTAGCACTGATAAAATTTGTTTAAAATACTTCTGTCCTCACAAATAGCATTCTGTTTTCATGGTGTTATCTGGGAGGAAGTTCTGAACTGGGATGTGGACAACTGTATTCTTTAAGTTTCTTTCCGTGGGCAGAGCAGTTGGTCTTACAAACAAAGACTTTACCACTTTATCTTCTGTTTGATGCGCTTGATTCAGGTGTTCCCACATGTAATGTCAGCAATGCGCAGGGGTAATAAATTGTACATAATCTAAGCACCTGTTTTTTCTAATATTTTTACCACCGTGACTGTTTAACTGTTGCCTTCTCTGGCAGCAGCCGTGCCTCTCCTTGCTTTCTAAACAAGATCTGACACTAGTCATACTGGTGTGAGAATTGGAGTGGCGTGCCAGCTGGTGCATCTAATTTGAAGGTCCCACTGAAACAAATCTTCCATTTGTGTAGGACACTAGCAGGAAACTGGCTTTCCAGTCACTGTCTACTCAGGCACACTGATGTCAGCAGACCTGTCTCCATCACTTCACTTCTGTATGGAAGCTACTGAAGCAAAAAACATCCGTGCATTGGCTTGCGATTGTAGTAGGTTTCATATAATGCTTGCCGCTGTCTTGAGTGGATAATGAAAAGGAATGAGTGGGTTTCATCAGCCATGGGCAAAGCTGGAAGAAATGTTTCAAAGCACAAGAATTCTCAAGTTAGCACGTAAACATGGCAGGATTTCCAGGGTCTCTGTTGGGGTAGATAAACTGAAATGTCATGAGATTTCTCTGTTCTTTTTGGACACACAGTTCTTGATTTCAAAAGCTATCTTTGAAAAGACAGAAAAATGATCTGACTTTGTTATGTCAGAGGAGTCTGTCTAAATCTGTTCCCCTCTCCAAAAGAAAACAAAAGACATGCTCTCTGCAGTGCAGCAGGTGCTTTGGAAAGTCATGGCTGAACCCTGCAGCTGGGAAAGTTGGATTGTATTTAGTGCTGGGGGAACTTTGATTTAAATGGACTTACCTTTAATGGTAATGCTGTCTCAGGATGCAGTCTTGCCCTGCAAATTGCCTTTGAAGAAGGCATTCTGTAGCTCTAATACACCTGCGTGCTGTATGTACCAGAAATGGCAGAAATGGTTGATCACATATGGTCCAGCCATGCTGACTCCCTTCTTTTCTGTCTAGACGTGCAACTTTTTAAAAGCAAATAGTGTATTTGACATTGATTACAATCTAATTCTCTTTTAGCTTTAGGTATGAATGTAAACAGTCATCTACAAAGCAAAATCTCCTTAAAATTTGGGCCATTATTCTGGTTGCATCCTTTGAAGACCAACTTCAAGTATTCAGTCTGCTAAAAAGTTGGGGATCCTGGAGAAGGTGACAGCAATAAAATGCAGTGTTTCTGGATACACTCAGCAGATTAGAAAGGGCATGTCGCAAACACAATTGCACAAATTCAATGGAAACATTTTCTATATTAGTTTCAAATAAGAACTTGAGACAGTGGCAGGAATATTGAGACATTGTAGGAATTGAAGGATACACTTTAAATAGAGCATTACTATTGCTTTCCTGCCATCATCAGCCCTTCTACCTTGCCAAGTACTGTACTTCCAGGACATCTTTTCTTGTTTTAGAGAAAAGTACATATAGCTGTCTCATATTTACAGATTGAAGTTGTTTTGCAGTTGGCTGGGTGAGTACACAAGCTATTCAACCATATTGAATTTATTCTGCATGAGAAAGTACAAATTTGATATTGGTTGTAGAAAGAATACTTTAATATAGTTTGCAGAATGATTTATTGTTTTCCAAGACTGTCTGGCTTAATTCTTTTCTGGTGCCCTACAACTGTAATCCACACAAGACATTAGGAAAGAAAAGAAAAGCTGACAAAGCTGTGTCCCAAACTATTAACAAAACTCTATATAAAATTCCTCTCTGGAGTATCACATTTTCTTATCATGGATAACTTTTCATTAATTCCCATTCATTTGAACTCTGGGTTGAGACCATAATTTGTTTCCTAAAGATGAATTTTACATTATTTTCTCACATTAGGCATGTTTCTCATACTAGGCTCTTGTTCTTAGGCACCTGAAGAGATGAAATAACTTGAAAAATCTTGAAGAAACAGGAAAACCTGAAACAACACTTTAGATAGATCAATCCCTCATTTGGTGTGTGAAGGCAGGTAGTCATATATTCCATTGATGGTATCTAGGAACAATTTGGGAGACTTCAGAACCTTCTGCTCTAACCATTGTATTTGCATCTAGTTATATCTAAAGTGCCAGCCAGGATTTAAATAGATCTTTGTTCTTTGTTTCCTTGCTGTTTCACTTTAACCTGCCATATCTCTTGTTAGCTATGGCACGACCAACAGAATTTACTAAGTTCATGCTGTTATCACTGTATAGCAGGGTACTACTGCACTTCTGGATTTGCCTCTAATTTCCCTATGAGTTCTGCTTTGACCACTTTGTAGGTTGTGATTCTAAGTTAGCACTGGCTAGTACTTTGTGGTGATTTGCAAGGTTTGACCTTTTTGGTCCTTATTGCCAGGCAGCTTGGCAATAAGCTGAACTATGTGATATTGCTAACCGTGTTACCAACACATTTCACTTTGTGTTTGTCCCAAAGTTCTCTAATAAAAGGCTGTATCTGCTCTGCAGGCATGTAGAATCATTCCTGTAGTCAATAGGCTGTTATTGCTACAGTCATGGAAGTGGAGACCGACTGCATTCTGCCTTTTGCAAGGGCAAGGTCCACCAAAGTCAAATCAGTGGAAAGACTTTGATAGTTGGATGCACAAATCCAAGAACTAAGGCATAGTCAAGGAGTATGTGAAACTGGTGATACCTGTTAAAAAAATTAATGAAAAGTAATTATATATGGAGGAATAGATTCAGCTGCAAATTAGAAAAACTGTATAAAGCATTTGGCAGGAAAAGATGTCTAGATAAAGGTCTGTGCTCGGTGCCTCTGGTCTTCAAAGCACTTTTTCCCCAGACTGGTTTGGAGGAGAAAACACATGAATAGCACAGGCAAGAAATGCAGAGGAAGTAGGTGTATAACAGGAAGATGCAGTGATTCAGATGTACGTCTGATTCCTCTTGGGAGCATGAAAGCTACCCCTCTGAAAACATCCGATAGCTTGCACTGTGCCTTTCTTTCATCAGACAGATAGAGCATCTTGATCAAGGCCCACCCAGTCAAGATGCTAGCACTTGTTATTGTAATGGAATTTATTTTGTAGGTGCTATCTGACTTGGTGGCCTGTGTCACTAAGCAGATTCTGACTTATAGAACTACTCCAGCTTTACAGTGTAGCTTTAATGTGTTCTTCAAGTATTGATTAGTCTGTACAGCCTGCTGAAATCCATGTCCAGGGCTGGCTGAAAGGGTTAATCTCCTATATGACCACAGGTGTAAGAACTGATGGGGGCCCTACCCTTTTTTCCTGATGGCTGCATCTCCATCTGTAGTGAATTATGGAATTCCCACAGGACACCAAGACTTTGAGGCTGTCTGACTCTAGGAGTCCATTTCATTTTGGAACTGACCTCTCTGAAGGAGCCTTTAACAGAACTTGTCGTGGCACAGAGATTTCTCTTGGTTTCATTTGGAAAACTGTAGAAAGGGAAATCTTTGAGAAAATTTTAAACCTGTGTTGGAGGTTTCCCTTCACAGGCTTTTGTCTCCCTCTTCTTGGGTTCAGCAGTTCATTCCGATTTATTTGTGAGGGTGATTATGTTTCCTCTTTTGGCTCTTCTGCTGAGGATACATGAACCAAAGCAACTCACATACCTTCCCTAGTTCCTTTCCTCTTATTTAAGAGGATGATAGTGTTTGTGACTATAGGCAGAGCAGATGTTTAATTTATAAAGAGATGGGTATGTATAACAACTCACAGAGATAAGCATAGTTGATAAGCCTGCCTTCATCTTCACACTAAAGAGTAGCATTGTCATGTGGATAGTCACTGCTTTCTTCTTTTTTTGCAGATTTTTATTGCATTAGGAGAGCTATTTTTATCTGCAAACTGGGCTGTTGTGACAGACATACTGCTGGTAAGTGCTTGTGAAACTATTTGCTGATTTCCAGGTTTTCAGCTTTTCACAACAATATTGTTCTGAAGTGTGCAACCTGGTGGCCAGGAGGACCAAATTTCTCCTTCCAGGAAGAGATGAATGAAACCTAACTAAGAATACCTGTATTGATACCCTGCTAATATTAGGGCTGTAACCTAGTGCTGTAGTGTAGTGCTGTGCAAATACCTCTAACAATATGGGTGTAGTAGTGCAGTAGTCCAAGCTCATTGTAGGCCCAGAAAGGAGATGTTCTGGATGTAATTCATGCCTGTGTAACTATCTAGTGCTTGTGGTACCCACACGAGCCTGGATTTTTTGTACAGCTCTGTGTTGTTGGATGTCTGCCAGAAAGTGGTCTACACCAAAAAAGGAATCACTTTCTGTCTGTATTCAGGGATTTTGTATTTATGCTCCAAGCTTTGTAAAGATGAGCCAAATGAGGGAAAGCCAATATTTTATAAACTAAAGTTAGTGAATCTGTTAGAATTCTTTATTCTGAGAGCTATTTGCAAGTTCCCACACTGCAGTTCCCTCAGCGCAGGTGAACTCCAGCACTTACAAGTCAAATTAATAAATGATGTTACACTGCCAAAGCATTGGCAAAACAGTGACGCTTATGATGCTCTTGGGGGTTCCAGGAACTGCCACCACAAGCCCAAAGAATAACAGTGCCTATTTCATTTCAATTATGTCATCAGCAACTTTTTTTTAGATAGGAGTGATGTGAAAAGCACACACCTTGTGGCACAATTAGTTCAGGTATTAACAAGCAGCTACCTTTTCTATTAGTTATTGCAAAGGCTTTAAGGATTAACACTTTTTTAATATCCTTGAGGTTTTACTCAAAGGAAGAATTTGTCAACCCTTGTTTTATGCTGTAGCTCCACAGTCATTAATCAATGTCTGTGTAAAATATGGGACAGATATTATGCTAGAAAGATTTTTTACCATCACTGAACTACACAGATTATCACGGTCTAACAAAGTAGTTTATGTGACTTTTTGGGGAAAGTCATAGTACAAACAAGCTGAATATAGTTTACCAGTCAAACAAGCAAGGAAATAGTCTACCTTGTTCGTATCTAGTAATCTGACTGCAGAAAGCTGGTTTAAGTACCACAGACAGAGCTATTAGAATGACTGAAAATCCTTTCATTGCTTCCCATGGGCATAAGACAGGATATTTAAATTGGCACTGTCCTCTTCTACAAAGAATAAAGCACTGTATCGCAATGAAACACAGACTTCCTAATTTTTGGAATCATCTTCTGTGGGGTGACTTTGTTGCAGAACAGTGAGCATGACCTGAACCTCAACACTGAAAGCAGGATGCTACCTGAAAGAGAGAGAGCTGAGAGAGGTGTGGTACTGGCAAAATGCTGATGCAGTTGGTACTAATAGAAGACAAAGTAGAGAAATTGTTTAAAGCCCTCAGGACAGATGAGAGAAGGCACAAAGGTAAAGACAAAGCAGAAAAGAACTCTCTGAGTTTCCCACCTTCAGGCTAATCATGGAAAACCGGTAGCTGAAGAGATCCTTAGCAAGATTCACATGAACATCTCCTGTTTTATTTAATAGTTTCTCATTTCAAGGGAGTTCAAATCTACATGCAGATGGCTAAAGCAAACTCCACTGTCATAAGAAATCTTTCATATAAGAACCACAGTGAATACATTAACGTGTAGCACAACACATAGTGCTGCCCAATAACATGTCACAAGAATTTATGACAGTAAAGAAAACTTGCAGCCCATGGCTCATGATGAAAATGGTTGTCCACAAGGCTGCCATCGTTTCTTGCTGCCACAGGAATTGAAAATGTACTCCTGAGGTTACTGTCACTATAGTCTTAGTTACTCAGAATATACAACTTGCTTGATATTCCTAACAGCTACCTAAACATGAGTGGTAAAAAACTGCGCAGAGATAAAAGTATCTCTATTACAGTCTTTGGTGTAAAAGAAGGATGTTAAAGTATATAGCCAAACACTGAGCGCCTGCTAATGGCAAAAGGGACAAGCTGTGAAGCACTACAGAACTCTGCTTCAGCTGACTTGACCTTGCCTTGAGCCTGTTTATCTTCAAACTTCATAGCTTGAAGAATCTTTCTTCACATTTTGATTGAGATAAAGGAATAAACCAACTCATATTTCATGGTTCTTCAACAAAGCACTGTTGTTGACTATTGTGTTATGGTCTCAAGTTACTCTTTCATGGTACTGCTCTCTACATGCTAGTTTTCTGCAGTCTGGAATTGTAAGAAAAAATAAAAATTGCAGTCAGCATTAGTGAATTGGTTGCCCACTGAAAAGCTCAGCCTGCTGCAAGAGGGTTTTGTTTCTTCTTTAACTCTCAAAGAATGGTCAGAAACAATTATCCTTTGAGACAAAAGGTATAGCCTTGAAACAGTGAACAGGTGCAGCAAAACTATCACTGCTTCAAAATGATTTTTTATTAGTTTCTATTTCAGATTATTTTTAAATCACTGATTTTTTTTTTCAAGAGATCAAAGTACTATTACAATTAGTATTCTTCTTACATCACTTGAGCCTCCATTGAAAGATTTTCTTAAAGTCTCTCAATTTACTTTTATTTGAACTCCTGCATTTGTGTTTTTATTCTCTCCTCTGTCACTGCTTAAAGAGGAAGATGACATTGCTCAGTTAGATACAGTTGATACAGTAATGTACAAGTACAAGTCAGTACTGTCAGCTCCTTCTTTAGAGTCCTTTCTGAACCCAACCTGCAACATCTGCAAGGAGCTGTGTTTGCATTCAGTTCAGTCACTTAGGTCTCAGCTTGCTTAGGGAATGCTGCATCATATTCCAGCCTGCACAAAATCTTTTTGGAGTGTCATTGCCACATCCTTGATCCATGTAAACTGAGAAGAGGTTCTGAGAAGAAGTTCTTGTCTCCCATGTGACTGACACACTTCTTTTTTATTTATTTTAGAAAGCTTTGGTTTTAGGTGGAAGCAATACTGCATCAACCAGCAACAAGCAGGAAGGTGAAAAGTTTGGCAGAGCAGAGCTCTGTAGTGGTGTGCTCCCCTGAGAGCAGACATACAGTGTACTACTATGAATGTGCTTTGGGTTAGATCTGTTGAATTCTAAATGTTACTAATTGTTTTGTTAGAAAAACGATGGAATTTAGATGAATTTGTGGACGTCTGCTCATTCAGTGGCAATCTTATCTGAGTTTTGTTCCGTTCTGCTGAAAATCCGTGGGTTCAGTGTATCACTGATACTACATTGACTTAAGGATGCCATAGATAACAACAGAAATTTCTCTTTTTGTATTGTTTCCTGTGTGAGCTGATAGACTTTCTGATACTGTGGCTGCATTTGCTAATGCATGTTCTTATTCTGCCGTGAAAATGACTTTTCGTTCTCCCTATATGGCACCGCTAGGCAGAGCAGAGCTAGGAATTTATTTATCCTGCAGCCTGTGGAGACAAAGACAAAGGAAGATGCTGACTGAATGATAAGGACTTTCTTCCTTTGTGGATCATACATCAAGATGCATTGCATGTAGCAAGCTTTGTGCCCCTTATTCAGCTGTAAACATAAGGTATCTACCGGCTGACTGCAAGTCAGAACGTGCACGTAGGGAAGTGCTGTAGCTGCCTTGCTTACAGTTCTCTGGCTAAGTAGGAGGCTGTAATGGAGTGTCCCTAATGAAATAGCTGTTTACCATCTGTGAGGTACTGGTACTCTATATTTTAGGCTTTTGGCAGCTAAAAGCATAAAAGCTGCTGGAACTGGAAGCTAATATTGGGCTTGGGAAGGCTACCAACATGTCCCTGTCTTTGTTTGGAAGTGCCCTGGGAGGTACAGAAGTGTTTACCAGCTTGTCTCTTCCATCTGCTTTTTTAGCTGACAGCTCTGTCACATAGTCTGCAGGAGGATCTCTAAAACCTCCAGAGACAGCATGACAGGGCTTGCAAATCATATTTGTGGGGGCACCCTGCTTATCTATCAAGGCATCTGGACTGGCATCTCCTAGGAGATGACAGTGCAGAGGATGTCATCTGCATTGTTGATGTGGTGTGAGCAGCTGGGCAGTTACTGTGGACAGGCTGCTTCAAAGCCCAGGTTTGTGGGAGTGTTCAGTTTATTTTCCTAGAGAAGCCTACAGTGCGTTGAGCTTTTGCATGCTGTTTCCATTGAGCAGAAGAACCTCAATAATAGCAGTCAGAGTTTGTGGGAGCCCGGTAACTATAGGAAGCTTCTGTCCTTCTTGCCCATTTTTCTTGTTACAGATTTGTTCCATAGGTACAGGAATGAGAGATTTAATGCATGCTGCAAGAAAGTGGTGCAGGGCACTGAGAGTGTGAAAGTGCATTTATATTCTCTGGTGCCTGCAATGCCCACAATATGTTAAGTACATAACAATATTTGATTTGCATTGCTCAAACACAACCTATCATTATCAATAAAAGAAAAGAAAATTGAGTCTAGGGCAGTTGGCAGGATAACCAAGAACAGTCAAACTCCTGTCTAGCTCTGTCATAGCAAGTTCTACTTCCCAACCTAGAGTTTTCTACTGTAATTTGTTTCTCTCTCTCACTCGGAGAGTGAGACTTATATATTTGATACTCTTATTCTCACAAGTGTAATTAACCTTGGTTTCTTGGACAATGTTCCTTCCTTACCTTCCAGTTTTAATTTCCATTAATGCAGTTCCTTGTACTCACCCTAAAGATGTGGCATTGATATTGCTATTGGTATTGATATTTCCTTATCTAATATTGTGAGATCACCTTGTACATGAAGAGTGATAATATAACTCCAAGTTAAATGTGGGAGCAGGATCTTTTTCTTCTGTGCCCAACCTGTTGTCATGCATGTTAGTGTTTCTTTGAAGGCAGCTATAAAGCCACAATAACTTATATACCTTGTGTTTGCCTCTTGGCCAAACACATCACCTTATTAATTAGTGTTTGAGATGTCTAAGTGATGCTCCAATCAATTTCCCACAAACAAACACGCAAACAAAACAAAAAACAAACCAGGGGAGTGGAGGAGTGGGGGAATATTAAGTGTTCTGTCTCTGATATGAGCAATTGGTTGGAAAACAAATGTATCAAGGTTTAAAATTGCCTCTGCCTCATTCTGACTGTGAATGCTTCTCCTTTAAGTGTGTAATAATGTAAATGCATTACTGAGAGAGACACAAACAAATTATATAGAATCATGCTGTACTTCAGGCATTGTTGATCTTCTTTAGTAGTGCAGACATAAAGCTCCTATTACCCCAAAATTACTATATTTCATCTTAAAATTGGTTATAATCTATGTGATGCTTTGCTGTGTTCTGTACCTGTACCATCTTCTTCCACTTGTTATTTAAACTGCGTGCACTCGAAAGCACAATCATTTTGAGGTATGGTTATTAGAGTAGCTATATCTCAGGTGCTGGCCAGTTACAAGCAGCAAACTTCTGCTATCAAATCTGTCATCAAACCACCATCAGCCACCTTCTGGTCCCTCCCTGAGTCTCCACACACTCTGCAAGGTCTCAGCTGACATCTCTATAGCCCTGGCAGCTCGTTCTGGTACCCCAGTTTCCCAGCAGTCTAGAGCAGACCTGCTGACACAGTATTACGAGAGATTTTCTCAGAGGCTGTCACTGCTGAACCTCCTTACAAGTAAATTGGTACTAGTAAATTGGTACAACTGCAGGGGTTACTGGCTGGAGTTTTCTGTTAGTGGCATGGCCAAGTGAGTCTGTACAAGGTGCTGTGAGTCTGTGAATAGAGGCAGGGGAGTAATGTTTTTCATGCTTTATTGTCATTCCCTCTTTTGCGTTGCTTTCTTGACCATCTTCTTCCTAAATAAAACATCCAGTGTACTGTATTGCTCAGAAAAACCTCTCTGTCTCCAAACAGTGTTTGAATATGAAATATAAATAAATGAATATATCCATCTCTCTAGGTAGCTGCCCATTTTTGAGATTTGTTCTGTTAATACTCATTCTCTTGTGGGTTGTGTTTTGTTTCAGTATGTCGTGACACCGAGGCGGCAGTCTACAGCTATTGCCCTGCAGATTTTGGTGAGCCATTTGCTGGGAGATGCAGGCAGCCCATATCTTGTTGGGGCTGTAAGTGAATTCTCTGCTTATCTGAGTTTTCTTTAGGGTAAAACCTTTAGAAACTGAAAGACAGACACACAGAAATCTAGGCACTTCCTGGTCCAAAGCTTAGAAATTGTTCAAGTTGGTAGCCTTGAATAACCTTGATTCTGGAATCCAGGGGGACATTTTTGTAAACGTTTTTACTTGCATGCAACTTCTGTTCCTGTGACACTGCAGATATGTAGAATATAATCCTATATCTATACAGATATGAGTCGTTTCCTGCAGTGTGTAGAAATTAATTTTGATTTAAAATTTGAAAATTAATAAATTTTGAAGGCATACGTTTTTGCAAAGACAGTGTCATCTCTTTTACCCACTGTTCTTTGCCATCTTTGAGGTACAGGCGGAACTGAGGCTTCCTGCTGAATGTTCTGCTGCATCCTGCTAGTAACTATGCACAGAATACTTCTTTTGCAATACCTTGCATGCAGTTGCCTAAAATAGCAGCTAATTGAAAAGTATAAGACAAAAAAGTTTGTCATGGTATATCCAGGTGAGATTATCCTCAAGTAACCTTGCACCTTTACAAAGAACAGAGATGATGAATCCAGGAGTAGAACTGTTGTATATCCACGTGGGGTGCAATGAGCACTACATTGTGTTCTGGAAGGCTTCTGTGAACCAGTATACCAACACTGCCCATATCTGCTGTTGATTAAACACCGTATCTTCTGTATTCAGGTCTGGCTATTGTTTGCTGACCTATTTCAACTAACCCTTTAGCTTATAAACTGTCTGGAGAATCTTTGAATAGTCTTTTTCAGGGTCTGTGTTTCTTCCCTTTGCACTCTAGAGATTTATTTTCTGAATGTTTTTAAATTAAATGCGTTAGGTTTGTATTTTGGCTGTTATGTTTACTGTAGTCCCTAGGTGCCCATTTAGAGTTGATCTTGCTCTTATCTCCTTAAACTGTCATAAATAATCATATTCAACCCAGAAAGGTTGAAGAGTCTCATATTTGTGTATTTTAAAACACGAAGCATATTGTAATCAAGGACATATGTGAGAATAGCAATGACTGCATTCAGCATTCATCTTTTTGTTTGTACTAAGAAGAGTTTTTAAGTTCGTAGGTTAAGTATTGAACCTTATGGGTTTCTTGAAATCAGCTTTTCTTTCTGTCTGCAAAACTAAAATTCCGGTGTGTCACATATAGCTTTTACAACCTCATCGTCTAGCCAGTGCAAAAAGCAGCTGTCTGGTATCTTCTTCCCAGTTCCTCAGATTGTCATTCCATGACTCCTCAAATGCCTTTTGGCTCAAAACCAGACTCCACTCTTGTCTCTGAAATCAATTTCCAGCTCTTCCCTTTTTAATGTGTGTTGCTGCTCGTGGCAGCATTTTTGCCAATTTTTTTTTGCCAGTTTCTATTTGTTTGATTCTGATTAAGGATGGATAAAGTAATCAAACAGCACCAAGAAATGATAAAGGTCATTGCCAAAGGTTTGTCCTGTGCTGGCTTTCTGGAGATGGGCTAGAAAATGGTAAAATGAGTTAATGTTTACCAGTCATGATAAACACAGGTTGCAGTATTTTGTGTTCTTGTGACTGGAGGCAGTAATAATATAGAAGAACAATATTCCCCAACCAAATGGAAATGGAACAGCAGTGCAATAGGTGTATTGGGGTTAACAAACCAAGGTAGCAAGCTTTTCATCCCTACCTGCTCAGTTTCATTCTATTCAAGGGCCACAGTGTAAAAAGCCTGCTTAAATCAAGAGAGAAGCATGGTGTTATCCCACATTAATGACAGCATTGTTCATTCCCTAGATCTCCAGTGTTATTCAGGCCAACAACAATCACTCAGTCCAGTGGAGTTTCAGGAGCCTGCAGTACAGCTTCATCATCTGTGTTTTTGTTGGTGTCATTGGAGGAGGTTTTTTCCTGCTGACATCTTTCTACGTTGAAGATGATCGTAAGGAAGCAGAGAAGCATTAAGGTTTCTACGTATCTTTTAAACCTTTATCTTATAACTTTCCTGTTTGTATGCCAGCCATGATATTGACTCTGTAAAGTTAAAACACAAATGTACATGTTGTGGTAATAATACAATAGTTTCTATAAATAAAAGAAATGTAAAATCCCAGCAAGGCCTCAGATTAAACAAATCTTCCTTATTGAAAAAAATAGACTTTGCAGAACACACAATGGTCACAGAAGTGCAGTTACTGACCCCTTCAAAATATGAAGGTAATAAAATAGCTTTACTGCAGATAATGCATCTTCATGAAAGGTGTTTCCTTCTCTCCTCTGGTCTTTGGAGCCCACTCCCCTCTCCCCTGAAAGAAGTCATATACAAAGTGTATGACTTACAGAAAATCTGTTGAATTGGATGGAACACTGTCCTCAATCACCTAGATTCTTACAGCTTCCTTCTGCTTTGACTTGGTTTCCTAGGTACCAGAAATGAATGCTGTCTTTCAAGGGAAGATGAACTCCAGGGCAAGATTTGCAAAAAAGAATAAAATAATGTCCTTCTCTTTTTCTTTCCTTTCCTTTTTGCTTAATGAGATACAGCTACAGAAAAGGCCAAATAACAATTCCTCCATATGGCAGAAAATCCTGCGTACTGACTTTTTTGGATGCTTTTGACTGTGAGTCAAAAATTGCTGCTGAATTGGCATATGGCAGCCCTCCCTCAATCTGCAAAACGGGCATGAGTATTCTGTGGAGCTGGGGAGCTCCAGAAGGTAGAGTATAGAGCTGTCACAAGCATGACTGTCAACCTAAACAAGACTAGCATTTAAGGCAGAATGTCTTGTGGAGATTAGGAGGGAAGGCCTATGAATTCTCAGCAGGATAAGATTTGTCTATAGAATCTGGAAAATCTAGATAGTTCAAACAATGTTTTCATTTGTCTGAAATGACCAAGGGAAGGAGACTACCAAAGTCAATGCCAGGTCCAAGAGTGGAGGGTTGTGGTCAATCTATATGCATGTCATGCTTTTGGCAGGGATAGAGTTAATTTTCTTCACAGTAGCTGATACGGGTGCTGTGGTTTGGATTTAGGATGATCAAAATGGTGTTGATAACACTGATGTTTTAGTTGTTACTGAGCAGTGCAGAGTAACTGCTCGAGAACTTTTCGACTTCTCATTGTGCCCAGCAAGGAGTCTGGGGTTGTACAAGAAACTGGGAGGGGACAGAGCCAGGACAGCTGGCTCCAGCTGACCAAAGGAATATTCCATACCACATGGCATCATGCTGAACAATAAAACTGGGGGAGGTAGTCAAGGGCACTGCTGGTGCATCAGTCAGCTGGTCGTGAGCATTGTGTTGTGTATCACTTGTTTTTGTTTTTATTCTTTTCTAGTTTTTTTGTTTGTTTGTTTGTCCCTCTTATCAACTGTCCTTATCTCAGCCCATGAGTTCTCATACTTTTACTTTTTTCGATTATCTCCCTGATCCCACTGTGAGGGCCTGAGTGAACAGCTGCGTGGTGCTTATCTGCCTGCAAGGTTAAACCACAATATAAGATGTTAATGGTCTCTTTATAATCCTTTGAGGCTCTCCAGTGCATCCTCAAGCTATGGGTAAGCATCTCCTCTCATGAGTGAACAGTGGCGGTTATAAAAACACTTAAATATAATTACCCATTTGAGGTCTGAAAGTGCATAGGACATTGGATGTGGTAACTATTGTCATAATATTATTCCAAGCACCCAATATGACATAATTAGTGTGGCCAACTTGCATTGTTTGTGGTGGTGTAGTTCCTGGCAACACCTTAAAGTCAAACCCTCAGTAAGTGAAGTATTGTGAATCTTACCTGATTCTCCCAGTATCATAAGGATCATGAATGATCCTAAATAATTAGAATCATAAAACACAAAATTCTTGTAATGACAGTGAATATTGACTGCCATTATCAATAGCATAATTCAACAACTGTGAGTTTCTCCCTCTCCTTCCTTCCCCCCTCTCTTTTTCTGAAGTCTGTTCTGAAACCAGACTTAAACCCATATAGTCAAAATTGGCCAGAGCTTATTCCATTATGAGAAACAATTAAGTTTTCTGTGATACTCAGTTAGATTGTAGTAATTGTCTTTAAAATAAAAGTTGGTGTTCTAGAAGACTTAGAGATCTTTCTGGTTGCAAAAGGCTACCAAAGCCATTATAGCACTGCCTTTTTGGAAGTTTATGTGGTGCCAGAGAACCCACGTCCAGCAGAGGATTCTTAATATTGGATGTGGACACAGCTTGCAAAGGTCGTAAGTGTTTGTCTTAACATTTTCTGTCTATTTTTAAGCTACCTGGGGGCAGTGTTTAGATTGAAATTTCTTGCTTATTTTTGGCAAACCTGGTGAAGTTTGCAGCAATTGTCTTCCAGCTAGAGGGAGAAGAATTCTCTTGGCACAAATCCCATTGTTCTTAAGAGAATTCCTCATTGTAGGATGAATTTAGGAGGTCTACAAACATTCTTTAAGGCCTTCTCAACTCACTGCACACTTGAGATTGGACTTGCAAGAGGCTGAGATTCATCTGGTATGCTGTTACTGTACCATGTGTGGTGTTTGAAGATATCCACTTGGCTCTAGCGAAATGCTAATTGGAAAAGTTGAATTCTGAGATGAGGTGGAAATGCAATATATTGTACAGTGAGTGGTATCTTCAGTAGGTACCATTTACTGTCACATCACTTCATGCCCAGAAAGTGATGGAAGAGTTCAGTGACAAGTGCATGTCAGTACTTGAGGCTATAAAATTATTTTGATTTTGTTTAATTCTATGAAATTTGCTAGTAACAACTTAGTGCCAGATCCTTCCTTAGTATTTTATCAAAATTTCTAGAAGCTGCGTATAAGCTTACTGCCATAAAGATTTGTATTGTGCTTCAAGTCTCTTGTACACAATAGGTAGATATTTATATTCTGTACAGCCTAATTATGAAATTGCTTGGGGATGTTGGTATTAGTTCATAATTTGGTTTTGGTAAAGAACTCAAGGTAACCTGATCCTGTGAAAGATGTTGAACATTGCATTTACAGAGCTCACATCAGTCACGGAACCATGATATTCTACCTCTGTGTTGCCATACTCTAGAACTAAAGTTTGCAATTGCTAAAATCATTGACAACTGCAAACCAGATGTCCCCAACACCACAGCTGATTCCTTGAAATTCAGGCAGACAGGCCAAGATCTTGAGAATAGTTTTTCCTTTTACTCAGCTATGGTAGGGTTTAAGCAGCTTGATAGTACTTCTTTATTGGCATCTTCATGATTTGCCCTGTAAACAGATGATTTATTAAATTAGATTATTAATTTTATTATTTATTAAATTCTTTAGAAAATATATTCATAAAATGTAGCTGGAACACTGCGGAGGCACACAGTTGACATATGAGCAAGAGACGCCACATGCTGTTCCGTGATGGTACGTGAAGTCCTTGACAAACTCATTCCAACTCCTACTCTCAGCTCCCTTGTGAAAGCACCTAGAAATGAGCAGGATCGCACTGACTAGTTCAGTTCCATCTTTCCAAATGCTTCTCGCTTTTCTCTGTAATGGAAAGGGAGACGACTTTTAATTTTGTTAGGGCTTTTTTTCTGCATTTGAGCAAGCCTAACATCCAAGCCAAGAGGCTGGATGCTCTGAGCCAAGCCTGGCTCTCCCTGGCACTGCACTGTTCTCTGCCTTGCTGAGAACTGCTGACTCAGCGCCACTGCAAGGATGCAGTGATACTGCGAAACAGCCCTAGCAGGCTCTGCTTGATCCTGTGTCTTAAAAAATTATGTAATCTCTATGCTAGGATATCTAAAAGTAGTAGAATTTCTTAGTTTCTGCATGCCTTGAATTTGCTTCTTAGCAGGTGGCACCAAATTCTGCTCTAAGGGGTTAAGGCAACAGTTTCTTAGTGCTGGAGGGGGCTGTTGTGCAACGTAGCTATTTAAAACATTAAACTTTTTGTATGCCATCAAAATCCTATAGTAGAGAAAGTCACTGAGTCCTTTCACGCTGCCAGCTGAGGAACAAAATTTCTCTTTCGGTGTCAATTGAAATGCCAGTCGTTTCCTATGGTTCCAAGTGGGCAGAAGTAAGCAAAAACGAGCGGCTTAAAGAAGGTATTTAATTTACTGCTCTGACTTGATGGGAAAGAGCTGCTGCTGGAAGCTTCTGGTTATTGGGATAGCTCGTTCTGCAGTGTCCAAGCTGCTTGGAATCTGTGGCTCCTGCAGCAAACAAACAGCAAGTGAACAGGTTGACAATTTCTGAACTGAGCGAGTATTTTCGATAACTGTTTCTGTATTCTCATCCTACTTCTAACATTTCATCTTTTTTCTTTCCAATCAAAATAGTGGGTAAGAGGCACTTTGGAGCAGCGCCAAAAGGTGTGATTTTATAAGCACATTCAGGTGATGATTTTGATCTTTTCGTCTTCCTGCCCTGCCTCCATTCCCCAAAGAAGGGGCGGGTGATTGGTCTTCACCTTTAGCGCTCTTTATGTGGATATTTTTTAAAGAAGCTTTAGAATTCTGCTTGGCATAAAAAATGCCTTCAAAGTTGTGATTATTTCTAGCTTCTGCAAAATGCCTGTTAAGCCATCAAGTGGGCAGGGCATGTCTAAGATACAACAGTACCGTGGTGTGCAACTGCTGCTCCACAGGCTCGTTCCACTGGTGATATTGTGTGAGATTTCTATCAGCAGAGTTTTGATTTTCAAAGGCCTTTCATCTAACTTTTCCTCCCCGTTTCCTTCCCAAATAAGTAGCCAAGTGCTAAAGGGGTTTCACAGCACCTAAGAATTTTTTTCTGTGCTGTGGATGAAGGTGTGCAGATGGCAGACCATGGCTTTCCAGGCTACAGATTTATATATACTGTCTGAGCCGCTCACTTCTGAGAAAATCTTATGCCCTAATAACCTATGCAGCAGAATTGTCCATTGCAAAATGTTTTGCAGAATAGCTGTGATTCCTTATAATGCTACTGATGTAGCCATAGATGTCAAAAGCATCTTTCAGCTTTGAAGAAAAAGCTCGGAGTTGCTGCTGTCACTCTGAGGTACCCGTGCCTAGATAGGGTCTGTTAGGACTGTGCCAACCCTGATGGCTGTTTTACTAACTCGTTGCACTGAACAAGGCTTCATCACCTTCACAGGTGACATGTGCCTGTACTCCATCACTGAAGAACCAGCTTTTCCCCCTTACTATTCTGTTGCAGAAAGACTGGCTGAATTCTGTCTTGCTCTTCTCCCCTGCACTTGTCTTCCCTTCTGCTCCCTGTGTTGTTTAGTGAATAAAGATATTTTTTTTTCTTAGCCTGTAGGTACAGCACTTTCCCCTCCTCATGTTAAAATGCAGGATGCAATGTCTGCTGAAATAGGTTCTGAAATAACTAAGAAACCTAGAAATCATCCGTTACCCTAAAACCTTTATGGCAATTTTTTTTTTCTTCAGAGATCTTTCTGCTGTTTTGCAAACATTATTCATTCTTCCAGTCTCCTTCAAGTACTGGGTGCTCCTACCATGCCTGCAATGCCGTAAGTTACTGCTGTGGTGAGGGTGGCCAACTTAGACATGCCTTCCCCTAGGAGATGGAGGCAAGTCACCTGCTCCCTTCAGCTGGCAAAAAAAGACACAATGAAAGACCAGTATCTTTGGGTCCTTGCCAATCTGTGCTGGCATTCAAGCAGCTGGAACTGGCTTTATTCCATTACAAGGCAGCCACAGGGTTCATCTCGGTTCTATAATTATCTTCATTGTAATCCAATAAGGCCTTGGAAAGGTTCTTAGAAAGCTTTTGTTTATAAGGGACGCAAAGGTCACAATGAAAAGAGTCTGATTCTAATGCTGTATAGCTGACCATAATTGTATTGATCTCACTTTGTGTAATTTCGTGTTTGCATAACAGTGTTGTTATTAGTATGTAAATTGTCCACGTATTCTGCAGTAATGAAATGTCTGTAATTTTGAGAGATTAATGTGAGTGCTGTCAGACCACACTGCAGGATGGTCCTTTGTAAATGTGTACGGATTTGGAATGTGATTGAATCCCAGGGGGCTCAACCTTGCCAATGGAGCTAGGGCAAGGCTCAAGAAATGTACAGTGCCTCCAAAATCAGGATCCTATCCAATGAATAAATCTGTGCTGCACAGGACTCTACTCGTATTGTGGTACTAAGGTCTCACTTTATCTCCTTATATATTGTGCTGCTTTTTTTCCCTACGGTTAATATTTTCTGTATTGTTACGAAAAATGCTTTTAAGTGGAGTTGAAAGATAAATTCATGCATTCATGTATGCAAGTATAATTTTCTTTTCAGTACTTAATATGTTGGGCTGTAGGTTTGAAATTAATGTAAAAAGGATGAAGGTAACCATTTTGGAAAGTGCTGACTTCAAGCCAGCTATTAATTCCCACCATAATGTACCCCAGTGAGGGGCCTGATTCTTTTCTTCCTTCATTCCTCTCTTTTTCAAAGAGCCATGCATCCCTCTGTTCCTAATGAAGGCAGTCTGAAAGCCAAGAAAATCAGGCCCATTTGCTTAAAGACTTAATTATGTGATTAGGTGCCTAATATCGGACTCCTAATTTTTGAAATCTTGGTTGTAGGCATTCTTTTCGGGGATATCTCTGGCTGAAAGACAACAGAACTTAAAGAAATGTGGATCAGAGAGTACTTCTTGATCTTCAATCTGGTAGATGTTGCAATTGTTCTTCACAGCTTTTTGCTCTGAGAGTTTGTATTTTCAGTGAAAGAACTTGTTCCCTGTGTGTATCAACAACCCACTGCATAGGAGCTGTCACCAGACCTGGCATGTCAGGGCAGGGAGCAGACAGAACTCCCGGGTAAAAGAGAGCATCAGCTGAAAAAGGACACCTGATTTCCAGCTGGGAATATTTCCTCATGTGAACCAGGTGAGGTGTTTCTGCAACCCATTTGGATAACTCTGGATTCACCTGCTATTAGAATAAAACATGCAGATTACAGCATAAAGGAGCAGCCTGCCCATCTCTGCCTTTTTAGGGGCGTTGCAAGACGCCCTTGTAAGAGGGGTGTGAGGGTATGAGCAAGGAGGTGAAGAGGAGGGGTGATAAATGATAAATACTGGTTAAGCAATCTAGTTCTTTTTATAGGGAACTTATTATTCTGTTTATTTTGTTGTTGTACTTTGCTTGTTTTTTAACCAGAATGACTAGAGGAGGTTCACCTAGAGGCTAGTTAATGGCAGCCAGATAGTGTTTAAGCAATATCGGATCCTAGAAAATGATGTTCATGATCTGACTTTTGACCACAAAAGCTGACGCAAGGCAGGAGTCTCTGTAGTCCTCGCTCCAATGAATCTGGAAAACCCAGGATAATTCCATGGGATCTGCCTGGTAAGCTCTCAAGTAAGAGAACTGTTTTCCTTTGGCCTTCTGTTTGCATCCAAGTCATGGAAGACAGGACTGCTTGCCTCATCTGTTAAGTTGGGAGGCACAGATCCTAAAGCAAAATTCAGTTTGAGTTTTATCTTTGGAATTATTTTAATTGGGCATCAGATATGTGCATCTCCAACCTATTAACCTGGTCTCACTGTACAGTCTGATCCTCCTCTAATAGCGTGTGATTAAATGTGATTCATCGTCGTCTCTGCTAAGCGTGTGCAAGTGGGAGAACGTTGGTAGCGCAGCAGATGCAGTTATTTTCGTACCAGCTGCTTTCTCCTGTAAATTTAGTTTAGATTGTTAAACACTGTCATGTTGTCTTAGGAGGTCTGTGTCTCCTAATTTAGTGTGATGAGTAATGTTCTTTGCTGTGCTCTACCAGCAGCACTCCTGGAAAGGGTGAGTCTGACAGAAGCAACAGGCCAGCACGGACATCAGTGACTTTGAAGGAAGGCAGTTTCTGCGTTGGGGGAGAAGAAAATCTTCATGCTTACTGGGGCTGTGGAGACTTGCCATCTTCATTAAGGAACTTACATAATTTTTAAAAGGGGAATGTATGTGAGAAAAGGGAAAAGATTTGCACTTGCTGATGTTCCATAAGAAGCAAATGTTTGACCAGAAAAACACAGCTTGTATAAGAGAGAGATCTTGTAGGGAGCTTGATGCTCCCTAGAGAAGATGTGATGCCACGGCATGGGTCTGCCTAGAGAACTGGTTGTCCTGTTTGGGATCCCAGCAGTTCCAGAACAGACTTCTTTAACTACAAGTGCATTTAGCTTCTTGAGCACTGCAAAAACACCTTAAAACCAAGCTGAGCTGCCTTTTATAAAATGCCGATTTTAATTCCTGATGCGGGAAAATTCTACCTTCTAATGATGCTGCAGGGGTGTGAGAAAAGGAACCAAATTCCTCCTTGTCACTGCCCTTAGTCTGTATTTCTAATGGCCCTGGAAAACCAGCATCAAAGCTTATTTGTCTTGAGGCAGCATTTAGGAGAGGGGCTGTGATAACCTGATTTCCAGTGCCTACCTATGTATGTCAGATGTGTTGTATGTGCTAAAGGCAGAGGAGACTGGCAGACAGCAGTAAGTTTGAGCTATTTGTATTTTCTTCCAGGATTTGCTCTGCCCCATCCTCCACTAGCCAAAGGCTGTAACAGGGGATAACATTAGTGTGGAGTCTTCGGGTCTCTGTCCTGAGATGCCTCAGATTTCTGATGACAAGGTAAAGGTGTTTGACAAGAAGAAGGGGCTGATAAGTCTCTCACCCTACTGTAAGAACCTAACTTTGCTTTTTCTCACTTAAGCCTTGGAACCATGGCTATAAGAAACACATTACACTTTCCAGGGAGTGCTGAGAGCCCCAGATGAAGCTGTCATCCACGTGGAGGTGAGACCCATCAGCAGACAAGGCTGGCCAGGCACTGGCACTCAGCAAGGACATGAGTCAGATGGAGAGAGGGCTGGCAGGCGTGCAGAGAGAGCGGTGCAGTAGGAGGCAGAAAGCAGCTGGCAGTGCAGGAGGGAGTAGTAATGGGAACGAACAGGAGGAGGAGGAGGAGGGAATACAAAAAGTCCTCATTCTTGCACAGATATTCAGCATCCTATTCAGCAAAAATAACATTAGGATTTCAAAGAAATATTCAAATAAATTTTGATCCTTTGAGGTATTTATTTTAATTCTTTAATAAAAGGAGACGTATGTGCATTTCTCCCTCCAGCCCCAGCCTGTTTAATAGCATTACTTTTAGCTTCACCCCATTCTAAATCTTCCACGTGAAGTCTCAGCAGATCCAATCAGGTATATTTCATTGCTCAATGGTAGAGAGGAAATGAATTTTTCTGATGAGGGCAAAGCACAGTGAATAGTTTGATTCTCCTCCCCAATACCATTTGCAATCAGTTTTGTGCTGCAAATGAAGTCAATGTTTTCCTGGGTCAGAGGTGGCTAATTATTCACAGTACTTTCATTTCCAGCAGTAGAATCATCATATTTCTGTCAATCATCATTCTAACTATGTTGTGCTTGATTTACTTTGCGTTGCTCTTAGGTTTGCAAGTCTAGTGACTATCCAGACTTGTTCTCTTCTTTGTTGCATTCCCTCAGCCAGTAGTTCTTGTGGCTTCTGAAGGGACTAACACAAGGACTCTGGCACCAGTGCTGCAGTTTTCTCCCACTTTATGAGGTCACGTCTGTTAAAAAAATGAAATGGGAAGGAGGAAAGAATTTAACGCTCAGTGTGTATCTATCAAAACAGTGTTACTTCACTAAAATGATTAATGTCATCTCTGTTTTGTTTAACAGCAACAGAATCCCAAAGCTGAGAGAAGTGTAAGAGTCATGGTACAGCTGGGGTTTGAACCTGACTGTGTTAATTCTCAGGCTAGTATTTTCCCTTCCAGTGCTTAATGCTTCCCTCTGATGAGTGTCCAGAGCTCAGATAGTTGCAGCGACCACAGAGGGTTTACAGCATCCTTTGCATTTATCCCTTGCAGTCTTACCCTTGCATTCAGAACACTTCCTAATGTAAATCAGCGGAGTAACTGAGCATCCCTGAACGTCCTCTGCAGCAAATTGACTGATGCACTGGTAGGGATGGAAACCCAAAGAAGCCATGATCCAGCCTTACCTTTTCATGTAGTAGAAAGGTACTCTGTATACAGATCTGTTTAGAAAGATTTTAAGAGGGCTCCAGAGTAGATGCTAATAATTAAAATGCTAATTAAAAATGTTCCCAATGGTATTCAATAGTAGTGTTGTCAGGGCAGGTGAGATTTCAATTATCTTGCTATTGCTCTTTGAACTAGAAAAGTGCCCTGCAGTGAGTAAAGGTGGAGTACCTCAGCCATGGCTGCTTCACAGTGCTGAAGTGCTGACTTTCCTCGGGAATTCTTCAGTTTCTCTTTTTCACATTAAAAAAATCCACAGGTTTCTTCCTATGATTCTGAATGTGCAAAATGGCCACTTTGAGAACCTCAGTGTCACAGGAGAGTGAGCAACACCACATGGGTCTCCTGCCCAGAGAGCCTCGTGAGACCCTGTCACAATTTTCACTTGCTGTCTTTGCTCCAAACAGAACTGGTGACAAGACTGGGCTTCAGGGCTTTGAAATGTCAGCCACCACGGCAGGGGATGCGGGTCAGCAAAGGGCCAACAGGGCGCCTTCTTCAAGATCAGATCTTCACAGAGACTGAAGTAAAGCTTTGAAATGCTCAGCTCTTGGAGCCTAAAAGAGCAGGAAACAGGTGAGTTTTCTTAGAAGGGCTCAATGCTCTGCAGTTTTAATTGGCAGGAATTTAAACATGCTCAGTTCCATAACTTAAAGGCAGGAAACAACACACAAAGCCAGGACTGTAACAAAAAGAAAGCTGAAGATGGAGGAGAGATTATAAAATTAGAGGCAGAAAGCAGGGATCCGCAGAAAGGAGCAAAGAGGCTGCCAAATGTCTGATTAAAAGATGTACTCTAGGTAAGTAGAAAGTCACTGGCTTCCACACAGGAATTCCAGGACAAAGACTTGATGGTCTCCGTCTCTGGAGCATAGCGATCTTTGTAACTAGGGGATGGGGAAGTTTTACCATTTGTAGTTAACTTGATCTTATGTTGTGAAGGGATGTGAGAGGGAATTCGGTATGCAACGTTAAATTTTAGAAAAAATGAATTTTCTGTAGGGAAAAAGAATCCTGCTTTCATCCTTCCTGTGAGAGGGCATCTCTAGTGCCAGATGAAGTGCCTTCTGAGTCAGCATCTCTTCATGGTGTAGCATGCAGCAGGTGGTGATGGAAGCTAATGATGATGTGTAGAAAAAGCATTCAGGAAGGTTCTGACAGATAAGGAAGAAATGTAAGAGTGGAATAAAGTGAACATATGCTAAACCCAAGTGCCTGAAGCTACTTTGATGTGAAATGACTCAGGCTAATGAAGCTTTTCAAGAAATAAATTTCCGTTAAACTGCACCTGGAATATTGCATTGAGTCTTCCTTAGATCAAAGTAATTTGCATTCCTGATATTTATGTGTAACAGTGAAAAAGGTTGTAATTGCTATCCCAACGTTGTTTTACTTCACACCTTGCAGTAACCCTGGGCTGTGTTTGTCTTTTAGGAAGTATGATGTCAGTGATGCTCCTTTTTTATAAAATGTTGGTTTTGTTATTAGTGGCAAGTGAATCAGCAGCCGGTTTGCATACAGTTTAGGTCTGTTTATAAAATTGGGGTGTTCAATGTGTATCTGTTACTGGTGGCATTGTAATCTTATGTCCTACATAAAACATTGCAATCCGGTGCTTGGCACTTAAGTACACAAAATACAGTTATAACAGCATAGTTAGACTCGAGCCAGTGGAATAGCTGGAGCAGTACGATAAATTTGAATGCCTTCACTCAAGACATAGCAAGTGTCAAATCTGTGTGTATCATACAAATGCCAATATTACCCAGAGAGGTGGTTCCTGGATGTTTGTGGCCACTTGCTTTGAAAAGGAGACAAATAAAGAGTGAAAGGGCTGCACTTGTGTGCTGCCTGGTACAAAAGGGTTCTCTAAAACTTTGCTGCTCAATCACAACAAAGCTGATGTGATTTACAGACTTCAGCCATAGTAGAAGAGCAAAGAATCATGACAGGAGCATGAAATCCCAGGAGGATTATGATCACGAATCAAAGCTGTTTAAAATATTTGTCCTTGCACAACTGGCTTGTGAAATACTTGTTTCATGTCCAGGTGGCTTTTGCAGATCTCAAAGAAGGGAACTTCCACCACGTCTCTGGGCAGCCCGTTCCAGTGGTCTGTCACCTGCACAGCACACAAGTGCTTCCTGGTGTGCAGATGGAACCTCCTGTGCTCCACTTTGTGCCCTTTGCCTCTTGTCCTGGCACAGGGCATCACTGAAAAGCGCCTGGCACCAGCGTCCTTGCACCCTGCCTTCAGGTGTTTATAGGCATTGATAAGGTCCCCCTTAAACCAGGCTGAAAGAATCATTTCCAAAGCTTTTTGGTGGGCTACAAGAAAATGATCCATGAAAAGAATGACTGTTACTTTGAACTTTCTTAGGGAACTGTCTTATTACAACATTAAGAGTAGTTTTATCCCTATACAATGTTTCTTGCATTATTTTTTTTTCCTAAAGTAAGTCAAGCTGGTCCCAGATGGAGGCAAAATATTAGTTTTTCACTGGTCTGATCTGATAAAATTACTCCTGTGTCTCCCTGGCAATTGAAGATGCTGTCAAAATGTCGGTGGAAGCAAGATTTTTTGTTAATATCTGCAAGAAATGCTGATGCACAGCAATGATGTAGTTTGAGACTAACATAGAATTGCGTTATATTGTCATGGTCTGGTTGGACAAGGTGCAAGATCCCACCTTAAATGAATCAATGAATCTGACACATCAGAAGTATATAGATTTAACCTCTGGAAAGCGCTGCACAATCCCTAGGGGACTCTATGTAAATACACAGGGAGTGACTAGAGAAAAAAGGACGAAAGGTGAAGCTGGTGGTTGGACCTGAGAAAAACAATTTGAGGTTCCTGTAAATTGCTGAGGCCCTTTCATCAGCACTAAGTGACCTTTTAGATGGCTCCAAAGGTCCGTTTCCCATTCTAAAATCAGATTTACCTTTTCCTTTAAGTCTCTTCTTGCTTTCAGAAGGACTGAGTTGCAGTACAGATTGTAAAGCCTGTGGTCCACAAGCAGGAGTAGATTTTTCACATGTTCTACTTAAATGTTAAGTTTTCCAAAAACCTTTTTATCTTCAGCTGAGACTCTTAATGCTTTTGGCCTGCAGTCCTACAGGATGGACACACTGTGCAGAGTAGCTTGGAAACTCTGGTCACTCTCATATTCATTTGGGGCAGGGGCCAGAACTGAGTCTTGAGTGTGGCTTCCAAACTGTTGGAGCTTGAGAGAAGCTCTTACTTGAGTCTGATATGGTGCTCAGAAGGGCCATCTGTCTTGTAACAGCAAGAGGGGCATAGGGAACACAGAAAAGTGTCTGTGGCCAGACACAGCTCCTGCTTTTAGAAAACCTAACCTAGTCAAAATCAGCTTTAGAAGTGTTTTTGTAAAGCTTCAGTGGCAACAAGCCCATTTCTGTATTGTGAGATAAAACAAATTAAAGGATAAAAGGAGAATATATATGTGTTTGATTACTTTATATATATATGTATAGTGACTTGGAGTAGAAAGGGAATTAGTTAAGTAGAAAGATGAAATGTGAATGAAGATTTTCATGGAGTGTGCCCCAGCCTGTCAAGAGCAAACAGTCATGCAGCCAGGGAGATGTGCCAGCCCCGGCAGAGGGCATTCACCGAACACACTGGTTTAAAAAGTAACACCCTTGGTCTGGTCTGTGGTGAAAGGACTTGCACTGATAAGAGGCAAAGGAAAAATATATCCACCTGCTTTTAAAGAAAAGACAGAATGCTGCCTGTAAGGGGGTGAAACAGCTACACGCTCCCTTAAGGCTAAGGATGGCATTATTTTAAGATGAGTGTGTGAGCTCCTGCCTGTCTGCCTGTCCATCTCTCTCTTTCTCCAGGGCAGGAACCACTCACCTGTGTGACACAGTCCTGGGGGAGCTGCTGGCCCAGCACCGCTGGAGTGGGAACTCCAAATTTTGTGGTCTCCCGGCAGCTCCTACAGGAGACACGCTCGGGGCAGTGGTTCATTTATGACAATGCTACTCCTTAGAGCAGTGTTTTGAAATGCTGGTAGAGATCGTTGTTAAATATGTCATTTAATTACATTTCACCTCCAAAAGTTTTCATGAAAATTAATAATGCTACATTATGTAGGTACAGTAGAAACCAGAAGAGGGATGTTAAACTTCTATTTCTAACATCCACACCCTAACAATTTCAGAATCACAGTCTCTTTGACTTAATAAAAGAGTAGCAGGAATGAGTATCCAGCATCAATCTCTTTGCAGGAAATCTGCTGAAACCAGAACTGTGTTTTAAATAAGCTACATATTTTACATACTTATAAACTACATCTTGGGCGATGTACTTTGCCTATATTTAGTATACCTTTGTTGATCAGTTTCTGTTGCACTTGCATCACTCCTATATTAAAATACTATAAAACAAACAATCTTGTCAAATACTGATTTGCTAATGTTTTATAAAGGTACAGGTGCCCAGACATCTTTTATCTTTTTTTTCTTTTTTTTTTTTTTCCCCTAGTTTAGAAGTCCTCAATATGTTACAGGTGAAAACACTGTGACTTCAATTATGCTGACTACACCTTTAATAGCAACCATATGTTCTCACTCATTTTAAACTAGACAGCTATCAGCTTACTTCAGTCTTGTCCTAAGTACAGGTAGTCCCTGAAATCTTATAAGAGCTCATACAAGCCATCTTACCTCTTTTTTCTTTGTACGTTTCCAGTAATGTTTAAAAAAAAAAAAAAAAAAAGGTAGGTGGGAGGAAATGATAAATGCTTTAATGTAGCAACTGCTGTTAGTTCTGAGAAGTAATTCTGGTTTTTATCTTGCTCAGGATATTGCTAACCAGAGTATCCAGCAATGGGTATGTATTGGGATGCTCAAGACTGGTTTTATACATGCCGATAAAACCGAAGTATTAAGAGAAACTTGTGTATGTATAGAGAAATGAAAAGTCATATAGCTTCAAGTCTGTAGCTACCTGTATGAGAGAGAGGAAGTACAAGAAGTTATGGAATAAGGACTAGTCCTGTGAGGGAACTAAAAGAAAGCATCCTTCAGGAAATGTGTCTGTTCAGCTACAGCTAGGCTGCTGACAATAGAAGGGAACCTTAAGAATGATGGTAAGGGTTTTCATTTTATTTTTTTTTGTGAACTCTGTTTTGAGTGAGTTGACCTGTGACTATATAATCTTGAAGACAAATTCTGAAGATAAAATGTGAAGTCTTGTGTGTTTTGTTTGCCTTCCAAGTAGACAGGCTATCCAAATCCACCTTCTCACCACCTTTGTCTTTGCAGAGCCCTGTGCGAGTGCCTGCTGTGCTGATCTGCTCGTTCTGCCCCAAAGAAACCTGAGCTGTAGGTTATCTGATCCAAAGGGAAGGCTGCTCCCTGCTTCTTTCTCCTGGTGGCACGTGCTGAGAGTTGGGTGTGTATTCCTTGCAGACAAAGCTAAATGTTGGCTCTGGGTACCCAAGCCCTAATATCATGAGAAGAGCTGCTCTCAGTGCTGAACGAAGAGGCCTACAAATGTGAACTCCAAGTAAGTGTGAAGAGAGAGCAGCTGTGTGTGTGTGCATATCGGGTCTCTGGTCTGCTGCGTGTCCTTTGTAAGACTTGGGTGTGAGCATTATCTTGGAGCACTTAATCTTTGCTAATGCCAGATTGCTTCCTATACTTTTTTTCTTAAATGCCATGTCTGCTTATAGCTTTAATTACCCTAGTTAAGCGTATCTGCAGTTTCATTAAACAGCCTTGTGGATTTCCTCATAAATGTATTTTTTTCCTGATATTCATCATTCTCATATTTTAATGTTGTCATACAACTCCTGTGTGTTAGCCTAAATATTTTCCCCATATACCTTTCAAATCCTTTTATTTTTCCCTTGATAACCAATCCTTCTAGTCCCTTTAATTATATTTACAGGTTGCGTATTTAGTTTGTCAATGCTGTTATAGAGCTGTCATAATTTTCCGTGGAAATCTTCCTTTGACTACAGCTATCAAAACAGCCTGCCAGTTTCCCATCTGCCAGGGAGCTTTCATGTCATATGTAGCTCATTGTCAATAGGTTGTGTTCAAGAATTAGGATATCGCCTGGAATCCTCGTTTGTCTGACAGCCCTGCCTTCTGTAACGGCTTGTTTAGCTTGTGCTGTAAGTGACACCGTCTAAATGAGACGACACAACTGAAGGCAGAGCCTGCTACAGACAATATAGCCACCCTTTCACTCTGCTTCCACCCCTTGGTACATTAAATTAAGGGCTGGTTGTGGTGTTTGTGAGGTCTCTTCTCATGTGATGTTTATGTTCGTGTGATTTACCAGGGAATTGTTCTGAGCCTATTATTCTGCTATGAAGTGTGCCCGTTCAGTTTTGCCTATCAGTGGCAGCAGGGTCGTGAAGGCCAGGTAATGAACAGAGTGACACCAGGATGCTGCCCAGCTCCACCAAGCTCTGGGACAGCTGTGCAGCTGCAGGAGGATGCTGGAGAAGCTGTGCAAGCTCTTTGGATGTACTTTTCCTTCCTGGAGCATAATAAAGTGGGTAGCATACGTACTGCTTTCTGCTGCCTAGATTGAGATGAAGTGGCAGAACAGGCTGAAGAAAGTAGGACAAAAAGGCTGAGGTATGACAGCTGATCTAGTTTTGTATGTCTTAACATGATAGCTTACACAGTGAGACTCTTCTTTCTCCAATAATGAACAATGGGTAACTGGAGACCGCTCTATTTTCTGCTTCATATTGAAAGAAGACCTGAAGTCAGATTTTCCACAACTGCCCCGTGTCCCAGCTGGTCCAGGCTGCTCTGTATGTGCTATCATTTAACAACAGGAGGGAAGGAGGTGCTGCTGGCTGGGCAATTGTACTAGAATGCAGGATTGATGGATTTTTAAGACAAGCTAGTGAGTTTGTCTTGTTTTCTCACCTGTTGGAGAAAAGGTAACGCTTCCCATTCAGAGGTATTGCACCTGCCTGGAGTTTGCAAAGAGGTCTCATACGCTGCTTTAGTAGGAAGGGCTTTGGTTATAAAGTCTTTTGGTTTATGTATTGTCCTCTCCAGATAAAATAACCAGAAATGGAATCCACTTATGTTTCTATTACAAACACACTACGTGAATATTCTACACATTGCTCAGTCTACTGGATGGAAAAATCATTTCAGGCCAGTGAGGAGGTCACTATACTATTTGCTAGGCCTCTCCTTTCCTATTTATCTCTCCCTTACTGTCTTTAATCTTTACTTAGTGCTAGTTGCAGTAAACCCAGAGTTCCCCTAAAATTTATTCCAGGTAAATGTTGAAAAGTGACTTTTTTTTTTTTTGACAATTGTGTGGGTTTAAATAAAAGGACTAAAAACCTTTGCCACTACCAGGCAGTCAATATGGGTAGTAGAGTTTTTGCTGGCAGGTAGGGCATGTAAAGCCATTAGACTCTGTTCCAAACTGTCACCACGCTGCTGCTCATCCCCTTTGTGTTTGTAGCAATAATCCCTGCAGTGAGCCCCAGCAGGGTGAAGTCTTATTTATAGAAGTGTACCTGGCACTGAAAGATACCTAATGCAGGGTGATGCCTTGGGACACCACCAGTAAAAGGGTAAGAGCAGTGAATTAAGTTACTTTTGCAGTCTTCCTTTAATGTTAGATTGATTTTTTTTTTTTTCCTTTTTAAAAGAGCACAAATAAAATGTCTGTTCCAGATTTTGGTTGAAAGGAGAAGCTGTTCCATGTCATACATAAGCTTTTACTGATAAAAAGATCAAATGAGAATTAGATTAACCCTTGATTTAACTTTGTAATCATAAAATCTCTCTGAAAGATTGTGGTAGAGCTTCCTTTTCTTTGACTTGTTTGCTCTGCAGCAACTTCTTTACACAGTAAGTCAGTCGTGCTGCTGCAGGATTGGACTAATTGCAGTGCTCCTTTATTTAAAGGATTTTGCTCACCAGGGAATGAGATCACATGAAAGAATGAAAGAGAACTGAGTAATATCTAGAGCACTCGTGTGTAATACCTGTTACTGCCTACTGACATGTCCAGGCAATTCCATTGGTTGACATCAGCTTTAAATGTTGTTTTCTGGCAAACATCTCAGTCACTCTTTTTTTTTTCTTTTTTTTTTTTAAAAAAAAAGCTAAAAATAAAAAAATTTGGCCTCAGTGTTATGACGTCTTCTCCATTACCCCAAGTATGTGCGAGGTGTGCTCAATAGTGTGGCATATGCAACATTGAGCTCTCTGGAAAATGACCTTTAAAGGATGTCTAATTGTAATCCCTCTGGATTTTGGGAATAACCTATTTTTCCCTGTCACCTCTGGAAAACTGGAGAAGTTTTATCAATCTAGGGTTGCTGTTGATTTCTCTTGCTAGCAGTGATGATTGGCTTCAGTTTCATGGAAGAACTGGGCTAAGTGATACAGCCTCTTCCTGAACCTGGACTCGTAGCACATCCTGAGCTGGAAGGGATCTGCAAGGATCATTGAGTATTGGGTCAAGTGTCCTGGATCTCTGACTTGCAATGTGCTGGAACAGCCTGAAACTCCTGAACTGCCTTCCTGTGAGTCTGTGCTTGTGAACGTGGGGGTGTGTGATGTATGAGATTGAGATATTGAACGTCAGGACACTTCTCTATCTGAGCTCCTCTCTTTGGATGCTTCTTGCTCACCAGCAGCTGGTACTTTGTGTTCCATGCTGTTGGCCTGAGGCACATACCAAGCTCCTGTGCTCATCATGTGCAGGTTGTTTTCGGAGGGCGTCAGACAGACCCCTCTCCTGACGGGAACAGAATAAAATATAAACGAAGCAGAGAGCCCAGCAGGAAGAAGGCTGAAAGCTCGGGATGTACCAATGTGCTTTGGAGGGCTGCCTGCTGACTAACAAACACAGTCAGGCCTGCTCGCTGCTTCTCCAGAGCACTGAGTGTTTAAATCTTCAAGGATATTTAAAGAACAAAGACAGAAATACCTCCTGTTCCTCCTGACGTGCTTATCAGAGCCTGCCTCTGCCCTCTCCTCTGCAGCAGAAGCTGTGCTGCCAGGACTGCACGGCACTGATGTCAGCTCTCTTGGTATCTCACTGCCAGCCAGCAAACAAACCTCTGCTCTATGCCCCTGTCATACGTCTGGCCTTGCTAACACGGGAAAGATGTGGTGTGGTACAAGTTAAATACATCATTTGGGTGTGATATGGTATCTGCTGCAAGTGTTCAATAGCCAAGAACGTGAAGGTTGGTGTTTCATCACTACAACACCTGAGGGGCTTAGGGGTGTGTGCTGGCCGTGGGCTGAGGTATTGTCATGGACGGGATACTGGTGCTAGATCAGTCTGGATTGCTAGACAAACAGGCGCCTGTGCTAAGATTGTGAAATAAAGCTCCTTTCAGCCTGGGAGATGGGAGCGACCGCCCTGAGAGAGAGAAAAGTCCTTCGAGTACCTGGCAGCACGCTGGCACACGCAGTCAGCAGAACCAAATTGAAGAGGTCAGGGAAAGTGCGGGGAAGTCTTATTTATCTGGTCAGGCATGCGCCCAAAACTCGTCATGCTTTTGCCTGCTCAGCAGTACAAATCTAGGAGCAAAATGCATCAGAGACATCAGATGCCCTTCATCGAATTTACCGGATAAAAGAATACGGTGAGCGGAAAGCTGCTTCGCATGTGCTGGTTTTTTGTCACTCCAATTGCAGTAGAAATAGAAGAGCCTACTTTTAAACTGTTTTCTATTGTTGATGGAGTAGGGTTTTTACCTTCCTCGAGCCTTAATTCCAGTGATGAAATTTAGTTTTAAACAGTCCTGCTGCCAGCACCAGTGTCTGTTCTCTCTCTGCGAACTCAGGCATGTCAGCAAGCAGTTCTGCAGCAGTGCAGGATGATGCTGCACCAACAGAGAGAAAACCTTCCTCTAACTGGTACCAAATGCTGACTGAGCAAGCTTATAGCGTTTAGCTGCTATTGAAACGTGTGGAGAAAACAAAGAACCTGTTCCTTTACTGTCTCTATTCCGCTTTCTGCCCCACAGAGAAAACCATCCCACAAATTGCCCGCTGCTGCTCTGTAGGTACTTGCATGTTCCGAACTGGCAGACCCACGCGTGCCTCAGACCTAATTAAGATGTCTCCCAAAGCAGAGGAAGGAATGTGTATTTCAGTGCTGGTAAATACAATTTGGAGTTGCATTCCTTAAGGCATTCTACAGTTTGAGTTACTGTTTCCTACTTTCATTATCCCACAGTCAGACTTCTGCTTTACTGGGGTGACGTTGCTAACCTTTTGGCAGGGATCTGAGTAATCACTGGCAGCAGCGGGCACAGACCCTTACAGGTGCATGGATTGCAACTGCATGCACCTTATTTCCTCTGTAAATCAGGCAAAAAGAATTCCTCCTTAGAAACAGTTTTAAAAAAAAAGGTGTTGGAGTCACATCATTAGTAGCAGTGTGGTGAGTAGACTTCTAAAACCGAGCATTTTTTCAGTGACTTAATTTCGCCATTATTCTGGCGAGTATTTTAGCCACAACAGTCTGGCAAGGTTCTGCCTTTCCTGTTGCAGCTGAAATGTGTCAGACGAGCTTATTCATGCTAACGACAGCCATCCGTCTTCTCTCCAAGTGCCCTCCTTGCACAGTTTTAAATTAAATCCCTGAAAAAAGCCTTTCTCTCCTCAGTATCAAAGGCCTGACCATCTCTATTTTTACTTTACCCTCGTTTTTCATTCTCGAGGAATATGGATGCATCTTTCTTTTCTTTTTGCTTTAGGGAGTTTTGACGGTTTTGACCTATAAATGGCAAGGGCAATAAAAGTTTGATCTTTCATTTCAAAGCTCTACCCATTACTTCATGTTTTCCATTCATACAGCGAAGCATCCTTTCTTACACATCTGGCCTCACCTGACAGTGAGGCAGAACAGCTTTTGTGCTCCTTTAATTTCTTTGGTTTTGATTTTCTCTGGCTTCACCTTTTTTTGGTTAAGAACTGAAGCTCTGGCAATTCTTGCTTGCCGAGTAGGTTTTGGTGAACACTGAGAAAGGCGCTTAGATACCTAAACTCTAGCCTTATCTTGGCACTGATTAATCCCAGTGGGTGACTGCCAAATTCACCTGTCCATGAACACCTGGTAGGTCCCAGCAGCTGCCTATGGGATGGGGAAAGCACGGAGAGGTGGATGCTCTGCAGCACTGAGAGCAGAATGAGAGCCTGCGAGTGTCTGAGATGTGGAGGGCCTAAACCTGTGGACCGTGGTGCTTATGTCAACAGATCACGTGCCTGGTGCATTGCTTTGCGTGGTTACTCAGTCATTTAGCAAAACACAAAGCCAATTCTCCTCATAGGGGGGCCATAGAAGGCTTCTGCTGTGACTGCTCTGAAGGGAAAGGGTTTTTCTTCTCCTTATAACATCAGCATTTCTAAATGTATAATTAATATGCAGAGAGTGAAGGAGGGGAAAAAAAAATGCATTTTTGAAGATCTGCCGTGAGATTATTATCCTGATGAGCTGCCCCTTGGCCACAGGTAATTTGGCACAGCAGTGACCAGGAGCTGACGAGGAGAAGCAGCAGAGCAGGTGTAAATTGGACCCTCACTAACGAGGTGTTGGCTGGCACAGCAAGTGCTGAAGCAGCTTCTTACAGCTGCTGTCCCCAGTGCACAGGGGTGCCCTGCTGAGAGTTGGTCCTGTTCCCGTTCACTCATCCTGGGAGCTAAGAGGGGACTTCAGTCTGAACTCTCTTTAGCATGCAGAGGTCCTTGGTAGCTTAAAAATTATCAGACGTTTATCAATGGTGTGTCCATACCACTGACGTGCCTTAATCCCTGGGGACAGTTCCAAAAAGAAACGGCATCATTGTGCTCAGCATTAAATGTCTGACAGCAGCGCTGTCTTTTAGATCTACTGAAGGAAGAGTGAAGCAGTTTGCAAATGATTTCAGCTAAAAATGATAAAAGGAAAAGGGATCACATTTTTAAAATGCCAAAGCATTTTGCTCTAATAAGTGCAAGTCAAAGTTTTTCTACTCCAGAGATGGAAGATTGGAAATGGAAAAAATATTTAATTTTAACTTTTTGTGTTATATATAAAAAAGGCAAAGTAAAATATTTCATTTTAGGTTAGAGATATGCTCTTTGGTCAAAAGCTGACCTTTTTTTCTTGTGCATTTGGAAAAACTTGTTTGCTTGTTTACTACAAAGCAAATCCATTTCTGCACATCCCCACCCTGAAAACTCTTTCTACCCTCTCCCAAACCCACGTGCACGTGCAGTGCCACTGAAGTAATTAAATCTCTTGCTCATCTCTGGGTCCACTGGACCTAAAGAAGTTAACAGGTTGTTGTCACACTGACATGGAACTGATCTTGTTGGCAGGGCAGTGTTGTGAAACACTTTGCAGATGTCAAGCCCCCTTCTCTATTTGGTCCCATGTTCAATTCTGAAAACTAGCAAGTGAGGCCTAAAGAATGTGGCATCCACAACAATCCTACTTCTCTGAGGTTTCCCTTAGCTTTATTCTGATATTTTTTGGGGGAGACGAGCAGAGCTGAGACGGTTTCCCTTTCATTTACTATTGCATAATTTGTGGATCCCATCACCTTTATGAATATTGCTGCCTTATGGAAGCTTCAGTGGTGGAAATCCAGGGCTTGCTATTTACCAACACCCTGGTAGCCTTGCGTTTTTACACCTCAAATAAATTTTCTAACCATTCTTCCCCTGGCTTGTTGCCATCAGCTTGGATTTGCTTTTCTCCTGTAATTTCTGCACTTGTTTAGTGGAGGAAGTATTACCAGGGGAGCTGGGCGAACCCTCTTATGAACCCTGAGACTTATTGCACAGGCTGCTGTGTTTGGGAGGCGTTAGCATGCTGAATTACAATAAAGCTCTTGCAATTCTGGGAAATGGATGCTGAGTACTCTGAGCAGATTCCAAAGAGTCTTGGTGGCCTTGTCTAGACTGGGTCTAGAGGTGGTGTCTGTGCTGAGTTGCTAAAAATGCACCAGCAGAGGTACAGCAGGCTTTAATGCGGGTGTTGAGATGCACTCGTCTCTGCCTGTGCTCAGCACAGCAGCCTGGCTGCCACCGTGTGGGTTCCTGGTCTAGACAAGGTTATTTGTCCACAGTTTGATGTGCCAGGGACAGTGGGCGAACCTTGAAGAGCTGCTGTTTGTCACTGTCCCTTCACCTCAAAAAGGAGAATTGTAGCCCAGAACTCTGTGTAGAGATGTTGGGGGAGGCAAAACCTTGGCCAGCTTCGCTGCAGTTGGCATCAGAGAGAGAAGCAGTGGGCAGGGAGAGGATGGCATTGCTTGGGCTTTTGCTGCTTACTCTGAGCTCCGATCAGCCTGTGGATTTTCTCCAGCACAAGTTGGCACAGAAATATAAAAGTTACGTTCTTGCTCTGAAAACAACGCTAAGGAGTAATCTCCAGGAGCTATCCAGACACTAAAATATGTATTTAAAGCCTATTAGCTAAAATGTATTAATTACCACTTAAAAAAGGCAAAGCAGGCAGGGTGATTTGCATTCTGTGGCTGCAGCCTGGGGAGGCTGGAGAGCTTTCTGGTGCTGGGGACCCGTGGGCAGCTGGTTGTTAGTGCTCTGCTTCCCTGCTGGGATGGCCAATGGTTGTGTGCACAGACCAGCATCTGAAGCTCACACATCCTGGAGAAAATCAAAGCATTCAAAACCAGACCGTGCATATAGCTTCTGCTCCTGAGCATCGGTTAATAAATAGCTTTGTTCATTCCCTACCATCACAGGTTGTTAGGTCAACGGGCATTTTACGGCTTTAATGGCTTGCGAGCTTGCTTAATATGTCAAAATTGGCGGAACAGACTGTGTTTAAAATTCAAACAGTCCGTTTTCATATGAAATCTGTGTGGGATTTGAAAAGTGTCCAAATTAATGCATGGCACATTTGAATACTGACTAATTAGACTTAACAAATCAGTAAGAACTGAGCATTGGTGAAAACTAAACCTCTTAAAGAAACAGAAGAGCAGCTCATTTAGACAAGGAGAGTGGGGGGGAAAAAAAGCCCTGACACTTCGTGCAGCTTTTTCCAGTGCAGACATTTAATCTGGTATGAACCTTGGTGTGATATGTGGAGCAACAAGGTAAAGTCTGGGTGAGGAAACAGCAGAATTAAAGTCTTGACTGCTAACCCCCAAAGCTTAGGTCTGTCATTGCTGAAGGATTTGCTTTCCAGACGGTAGTAGAAGAATTAAGTAATCAGCTTTAATGACAGACTGCTGTTAGTGTCTTGAGGTGACTCTGTGGGTTCTTCCAAGGCATAGTAAATGTTTGATTTCAGTTCTGTCCTAGGTTGTTTCAAACATCTGAAAGCTGTGGCCCAAGGAGTTCCTGGTATGCTTTCTCAGTGATTTTTGTAAGGTTTTAATGCTCTCTTAACAGGAATTGCCCTGGGATATCCAGGGTAAAGTCTCATGGGAACAAACCATTTGAAAAAGCTCTCACATTTTTGAGAGCTTCTGTCAGAAAGGTGCCTTGTTCCCCCTGATGGGATACATTTGGGGCTGATTTACCCAAATTTGCTTACCAGCACTCCTGTGGGAGGTGCCCTCTTTGGTGTTGTGCTGCTCCATAGTGTGAAAAGGAGGTTTAACATCCAGGTATCCTCCATGCTTCCAGGTGAAACGTTTCAGTAGTTTTCTTTCCTTGTCATGTGTATCTAGCATTTGAGCAAGAGGAGGATATCTGAGGTGTGACAGGGAACCGAGGGACAAAGCCAGACACAAAGTCTCCAGCTTGTGTGTGACTTTGGCCAGAAAACAAAGATCTGTGGCTTGGCTGTGTGTAAGACGAGTTGCAATGCTTATGTGCCAAAGCACTTCAGGATCCAAAGGATGAAAGAACACAAGCAGTAAGTGTTATCAGAAGCAAGCCGAGCTGCTGCTGCGTTTCCTACTGCTGTAACCCCCCAGAGGTTACAAGACCGAGGACGCTGCAGTGGGCAGCAGCCTGCAGGGCAGTAGCAGCAGATGTGCCTTCACTGCGTGGTTATCAAAGGCATCCCACTGACTCCAGCGAGGACTCTCACTGGTAATTCCTTGCTCAGGAAGCCTGACTGCAGCCAGCTTTCGGTAAGACAGCGAAGTCACCTCGTTTTGTACCACTGGCCTAACCTATAAAGTCTGTGAGCAGCCAACTCATTCCCTTCCAGCTGCTTCTCTT